CAAAATATTTCTACTTTTAAGTATTCCTACTGTTGCCCATTCCGTGAATTTAGATTTAACATGAACTTCTTTTTTCTTGAAAAATTGTTCATATTCTCCGGATAAAATATTAATTAGCTTGGTGTAAAGATAATCAGGATTATTACTAGATTGTAACAGCAAATCCAATTTATTTTTAATCGCGCTTTTGTATTTATTAATATTGTAAACATTTATTTGTCTTTTTGATTTTTTATTATTGTTGACTTTATTGATTTGACTGCTAAACTTAACAACTTGACCACAGTGATCTGAAGGAAGTTTATTTATTATGAATTTTTCTGTATACTCGCAGTTACAAAAAACATTGTCAAGACAAGTAGCAGACGTGGCAGTTACACGAGTGGGTTCATGAAAGATATGACATAAATCAAACGACTGAAATAAACTAATAAATTTTGTACATGTGGGTGTGTTACAAAGAATATCAACGTTAAAATCTCCACATACAATAATTTTTTTAATACTATTAAATACTTTTTTTAAAATATCCTCCATCACCCCTTCAAAAACATTGTAATCACTATTAGGAGGCCTGTACACACATATAAGGATATAATTTTCTAGTTCTATACAAGATAATTCTATACAACACTCAATAGAAAGTCTAACAATGTCAGCACGTTCCTTTACTTTAATATTATTTCTTGCAATTATCATAGACCCGCCTCTGTTAACTGACTTTCGATTGAAGCAGCTGACAACGTTATAATTATTTAAATTGAACATCATATTGCTTTCTTTAAGCCAGTGTTCTGTGAAACAGACAATATCAATATTATACTTTTCTAAAAATAATTGTATAATTAACTCGCTGCCGGGAAAACTTTGTATGTTCTGATGAACAATTATTAATTCTGATTGCTTTCCCTTTGTCTTTGTGAGCAGTTTAAATCTGCAGTCATAGTCCTTATGTCACAAATATTAATAGAATTATCTGTTATGTCAGCATTTTTATGTTTAAGTTTACCATGTAAACTGTTCATGTAGTCAATATTATAAGCCACTAAAGTGGCTATTTTATTTTTAGATGATTTAGAAAGATACATTGTATCTTTTGTCAAATAAAAATCACTAATAAAACTATTAGTATCAAAAAATGTCAAAATGTCACTATGACGACATGTCAATGTATGTAATAAGTTATTCAGGTAATGTACCTTACTGTTAATTTTTTTATGAAAATGTCTATTTGTGTAAGGAAAAGCGCACAATACAATCTTATACACATTTAATTGTAATAAATATTCAATTCCTTTAATTACATCCTGCCTATTTAATTGAATACTATTACCAAAAAATAACACAATTGTGGTCATATTGTTCATTTTCGTAGACTTAATTTTATTTATTATTTGTGTAAATGATGCTTCTGGCATGCAGTAGTTTAATAAATCACCCTTAAGATGATACTTCAAAATAGACCCAAAGTTACAGCCTATTCTGTCAGAGAACACCATTGTGCTACTCTTAGGGTTACAGTCACTGGCACAAACACCCTGAACTTCATTTTCCAGCACAGTTACAACTGAATTATTATTTGATATATTTGTGTGATTACATGTACAATGCTTAGTCAACGACTCAAAACGGTCAGCATTGTATTTACTGACATCAATCAGATCATCCATTGCTAAAATATGCTCCTGGATTTGTTTCTGAGAGATAATATACTTTGTATTTAAATCATGAAGCGAAGATTCTAAACTATTGATTTTTGAAGTTAGGTAGTCTGTATCAATGTCATATAACTTTTGGCTTTCCATTAACTTATTATTACACTTATTAATGTAATCATGCAATTTTAAATTATTCAAAGTGTTTTTTTTTCAATAATTGTCCCTTTTTGCAACGCTTATTTAATATATTCCGATTCTTAATTATAAACTTTTTTAGTTTTAAATATTTTTTAAATTTATTATTACTCAACATACAAATATTACTGTTATAGTTGCCTAATTTAGGTGATGTATCACTAGTAAGGTCAATTACAACAGGATGGGTGCATGGAACTGTAGTAGAAGGAGGCACACAGTCAACACTAATAAGTTCCTCATATAAATTACTAATCTCATTACTTTGTTGAGATTCCAATCTTGTGTCTAGATCATTGATTTTAGAATATGCCTGCTTTAACTCAAGTTCCAATTCAGTGATACGCCTCAAGGCTTGCTCATGAATGTCACTACATTGATGAAAGCTACTTATTAGTTCTTGAAGCTGATCCCGCTGCTCAATAACTTCCTGATGGCTATTATGAAGTTCTGACAATTCTGATTTTAATTGGGTATTTTTATTTATAATTTTTAAAATTTCATCTTCACTCTCTTCTCTCTCCCTGATCAACTTGTCACTGAGATCTTTGGATGCCTGAAGTTCTTGTAGGGCCACTTTAAGCTTCATCTCTGTCTGCCGTGCAGTTGTGGAACGGGTAGATAGTGACATTATTGAATATATGAATAGTTACTAGGGAGAGTGAAGTGAGTTATTTCTAAAAAAAGTATCACAACGAGAACAGCAACTGAACCTTACTTATTTTATGTGTTAAAATTTTGAATAATTTTTGTTAGGTATATTTATACGACCTATATTTTACAAGATTAAGTAAATGGAATTAGATTGTGCTCCTTTCCTTCAAATTACATTAATATAAAACATAAAATTACTTACAATATATTTTGTGGGTATATTTTTTCCTTCGACGTACGCAACAACTGAACTTCACAATTATTAATATCAATTTAACTTGATGTGAATATTTTCTATAAAACTTGTATATATTATGAAATTCTTTGAATAAGTCCAACAAATAGCTATAAAATAGTTTTAAAATTAGTTGTTTACCAACGAAAGAAGTTTGACAGATGGCCGGTGCACTATTTTAATGTCGATTTTTGCAAATAATACACTACCAAATTGTACACAAACAACAATCGACACTTATTGCACTATTATATCACTAATAACGATGTCGAAAATATAATATTCGTGTGATAGACTATTAAAAATTATTTATTTATTACGGCCAGCTGAAAATGACAACTGTCGTTGGTGTTGCTAGTCGAAGAAAAAAAAAAACGATAATAATACTGATATGCTTATCAACATAATGTCATAGTATCAATGTATGTATGTATGTATGTATGTATGTATATATATATATATATATATATATATATATATATATATATATATATAATAATGAGTAGGGATAATTTTTATATTATTATATGTATTACATCATACAAAATTTTTCATCGTGCCTCCTACCAAATTGTTTATAATTACTCCTCTCCATCCAAAGGTTGCCTGGAAGAGATCGCTCTTAGCGATAAGGTCGCCCATTGTTTTCTCATTGTGATTATTTCTTGTAATTATTATATATTTATAATAAGTTTACTATTGTAATCTTTTGGAGGAAACAATAAAGAGTATCTATCTATCTATCTATCAATAACAATACGACACTTAATGAAAATGAAACTGATAATTATTGTATTGTTACAATTGAGCATTTTGATTTAATAACTACTGAATTAATTTAGATATAATTTTTAATGAGACCTATCTGAGAGTATATCCTTTCAGATAAGAAAACTATTTTTCCAAATTTTATAAATGACAGAGTTATGAAGTAATAAACATAAGAAATACAACTGAATCGAAAACCTCCTCCATTTTATTAAGTCAATTGAAATATGCAATTTTATAATTAATAACTTAAAATAACATGAACGAAGAAAAATTGTATGTAAATAATTTTCCTTAAATACCTTTTAATTAACAGTCTACGCTCCTATTATTATTAATGAATAAGATTATTTATCAATTTATTAAGATCATTAATTATGAGCAATTGATGAACAAGCGCCTCTTCTAAGGCATTTCGTCAATGCGATGACCGAAACACAATATAATCTTCCCCTTGTTCGTTGCCGCCCTGACAGGATGCCTTTTAAGTACATGGCCTATTGAAAACTTTCAAATATTATTCTCGTGCTGTTGATCTTTAGCTGACATAATTTTGAGGCTATTATAATGTTTTAATTAATTGGATCCTGAGCATTGGCGTATTTAATATTTTCCGAGAGGATGGAAAGGGACAGGGGGGGACTGACCTCTTAAAAAGGCACATTGTGTCAGACATGTATTTGCTCATAGCTGAAAGCTCCTCTCTTGATTTAGGATTAGGCACCCGGCCACCCCAAGAGTTTGTTATATCGGTACTTGTGAGCTGCCGCACGGTTCCTCCTAAAAACCATCATGGTTAATTCTCGATGAATTCATCACAATGGGTTGACTGACCTGCTTTCGTATTTTCATATCATTTCTTACTGGTGTCCCTCCATTATACGCTCATAGCTCAGCCGGGGTTACCATTCCATTACCATCTATAATTTTAAGTTATATTCCTCAAAAAATAGCTTTTTTTAATTTTGGCAAAACCAGTTATTATGATTTCAAAACTGCTGAACCAATTTTGATAAAATTTCAATAGAACTAATCTTGTAAGTATATTGTCTTCTCATGTCTAAAAAGAATTTTCCAAATCGGTTTATAACTGATGAAGTTATGAGGTAACAAACACAATTGAGAATTCTGATCCCTCTCTAAATACTCATATAGTCCTTGTTTCCTGAAATATAATACGTTATAATTTTATTTATATTATAAATTAATCCCGTGTAGTCTCGGCATGGAATAAGCCACCCCTTCCTTTCCCGTGGGTGTCGTAAGAGACGACTAAGTGAGGGCGAGGGATGAACAGCAGCATCCCTTTTAAAACATCTCCAAAGCCTAACTGCGGTTGCCAATCCGCCATCCAAGCGTGGCAACTACTCAGGCAAGACTCTCTTAGGGAGAGGCTTATGCTCAGCAGTGGACAGTTAAAAGCTGTTATGATGATGATGATAAATTGAATTAATGGGATCAGCATTATAATTTACTATTTGTTTCCATAGGGCATCAATTGCAATTGTGAAATCCCGTGACTTGCATTGGGGACTGCTGGCCACCCGTGACCACAAGGAGATCTCACTCAGCTCGCTCCGGATGCTGTTGGTGGCGGACGGCGCCAACCCCTGGTCCTTGTCGTCATGTGACCAGTTTCTCTCCGTGTTCCAAACCAAAGGTAATTAAACTGTTTCCGATAAATAGTTCGAATACCCCAATACTTGTGCTATAAACATCTTGAGCAATAGTAGCGTAGTAGTAGTATTGTAGCAGTATAGTCTGTTTCAACGGAGCTTAGTGTAAACAAAGGAATAATTGTTTCAGCCTTGACAGTCCATTAATTGATTTGAATGTTTCAATTCATCACTAATTTTATGTACATAATGTTTCATAATTCTATCAAAATTTGTTTTCCTTTTCATTAAGCTCTATTGAAACACTCTTTATATCGTACAAATATGTTTGTATTCTAAGAATGAAGTCTTAATTCTAATTGCATATTTTGATGTGTGTAAGTATGTTTATATGACAGTAATCATTCCTAAAAAAGAAGTGAATAATGTGCAAACAGCACCCCTGTCTTATTCGCATAAGAAAATCAGTTCTCGATTTAACTTCACCCCATTCATTGCCCTAATTGCAATGTGTTAGCTCTCGATCTGATTCCCCCCTAACTTGTTTCCATAATGAAGCGATTTACTCTCGCTTTTATTTGACCCCCAACTTGTTCTCCCTAATGAAGTGAGTTACATTCCGATCTATCTTCACCGCTATATCTTATATAGGTGTGTATATGTATGCATTCTTGTAGGTATTATTTTATATGCATATGCATTATCTTAACAAACATTGTGCGTTATCTATTAAAAATATTTATTTTTTAATAATTAACAAGTTTTTTAGATTGCAGTAAAATCTCTTTATTCGCGAGGTATACGTTTTGTAAAACCGTACAGAAACAGTGAAAATGGAAAGCCGAACTATTTATACAGCGGCAATAGCATCTGACAACATACTTTGGGTATAATTGTAATAAGGTCTATTTTTTTTTTACTAGTCTATGTACCAACGCGATTCCGATATTTTTTTATATGTACTGATTAGATCCGCGAATATAGGAATTTTGCCGCAATCTTTTAATTGGCGAATAAAGTAAGCGTGAATAAGAAGTTTTTACTGTATATTGATTAATTAGGTATTTTCATTAGTCCAATGTAGCTTCTTTTACTCCCTCTGTTTAGCGTCGACTGATAGTAATTAACATCAGGAATTAAGTTCGACCTGTGTATTAATCATTAATAGAACTGAATAAAAAAAAAGTAAACTTTGTTGATATATCATAGAAGTATTATATGCTATTAATAATAAATCAAAACATTCAATTAAATAATTAGATTTTTTTATTTGAACTACTATTGGACTTCAGCAAAATGTCTTATGTTCGAATCAATTATTCGTTTGTTTAAATTTTCATTATATTCTTGTATCAATGTTGTGCTTGTGTTATAGCTGTAACGCCTACTATTTTTCTATTTTTTTTTTATTATTTTTTTGTCTCTGCCAATTCACAATTTCTATCAGACATTCAAAGGTAGACTGGAAGAAATCCCTTTTATGGAATAAGCCGCCTTTGTACTCATTCTTTTCTTAAGAACTCTGTATCCTATAATTTAAAACTTTACTGTACAATAAAATATTACAAACAAATATATTTGTTTATTATTTGATAATATTATTCTCGAAAATAACTGTCGCTCTTATTTCATACCGTAATCACGTCAGGTGTCCGAGGCGACGCGATCTGCCCCTGCGCTTGTAGTAGCGAGTCCCTAACTGTATGCGTGCGACGTGCCGGTCGAGGGGGGTCATCTGCCGGCCGCGGGGTGCTGTCAATGTCAGGCCTGTCCTATGGCGTAGTGAGAGTGGATGCTGAGAACTCGCTTACATCGCTCACACTGCAAGACTGCGGGCAGGTGATGCCTTCATGTAAGTATTGTACACTTTTAGATATTTATTTTGAATTTGTTAAAGAAACGGCATATTACAGTGTTATCTATTAATTTCTAAATTAAAAAAAAGAATTGTTAACAAAATTTTAACATACTAAATTACAAAAATGCTATTAGCGTTTAGGTAACGTGTCCTGGTGTCAAGTTTTTAGGTCGCCCACATTATACACGATGGTATGTGATGTAACTTGTTTAATGACGGTTTTATATGACTTTGGAAACAAGAAGCAAGTGAAATTACTCTTAAATACTACATTATTGAATTTAAAAATCTGAGATCAAGGCTGGGCTTCGATTTAAGGATCTTAGGACCCGCAGCCAAGAGTTATACGACTGAATTATTACAACTCTAATAAATTACAGGATTAATAAGGATTAAGTTCATATTCGCACTGTGATCCTGGCTTAGAATAGGCTACCCCTTCCTTTCCTGTGGGTGTCGTAACACGCGACTAAGGGAACTAATTGTAGTTGGATGGGCAACAGCTTCCCTTTTAAATCATAACTAAAAACCTAGATAAGCTTTAAGTAACGATTTAAAAGAGAGACTGTTGCTAACCCGCCTGTCAACTACTGGCAAAACTCCCCTGGTGAGGAAGGCTTATGTTCAGCAGTGAACAGTTAACGGCTGATATGATGATGATGATGAAGTTCATATAAATCTGGCTATCTCCGGCTTTCCTTTATACTTTACATATGCTTATTGTCCAACAGGCGTTATAGTAGTGGTGAAAATGGAAGGACCCGCTTTCCTATGTAAAACGGATGAAGTTGGCGAGATTTGTGTACTTTCTGGTGCCACCGGTTCAGGATACTGGGGTCTCCCGGGTCTTACTAACACTGTGTTTAGGGTAAGACCCCTGGACTCGGATGGAGAGCCAATAGGTGAAGAACACTACGTGAGAAGCGGTCTACTCGGCTTTTTAGGACCAGGCGGTAAGTTTTTATATTATGACGTGTATTTGTTATTAAATGTTTGTCTAGTCTGGGCCAAGGAACCGCATACTATATATAAAAAGCAATTACCGAATATACTGGTCGAGGAATAGCCAGCAGCGTCCCTTTTGAAACATCACCAAAGCCTGACTGCGGTTGTCAACCGTCTGCCAAGCGTGACGACTACTGGCAAAACCTCCTCTTTATGGGGAAAGTCTATGTTCAGCAGTGGGCAGCTAACGGCTGATCTGATGAATTCCTAAATATATTCGATTTAAAAAATCTTTCATTACGATTTTGCTTTATTTTTTAGCACGTCAAACGTTGTGAAACATAAAAACGTCATAAAAATAATAAAATTAAATGTAAATTTTTTGTTTTGTAATTCATTTATTATTTACTAGCGACCAGCCCTAGCTTCGCACGGGTGCACATTACATCACATCACATTAAAAATCTCTAAAATTATCAGTGTTTCTCTACAATATTATACATGTATTATGCATACAAATCTTCCTCTTGAATCACTCTATCTATTTAAAAAAAGTCCGCTTAAAAATCCGTAGTGTAGTTTTAAAGATTTAAGCATACATAGGGATGGACAGACAGCGACAGCGACTTTGTTTTATACTATGTAGTGATATAACAATAATTTGTAATGATGTCCCCATTAGGCCTGGTCTTCGTATGTGGTTCCCGGGATGGCCTGATGACGGTAACAGGACGCAAACACAACATGGATGACATTATCGCTACGGTACTAGCTGTGGAACCTATGAAGTTTATATACAGAGGACGTATAGCGGTGTTCTCAGTGAGGGTGCTTCGTGATGAGAGGATCTGCATAGTGGCAGAACAACGGCCCGATTGTGGCGAAGAAGAGGTAAGTAGCTTTTAAAACTAGGGCTTTCAACATTGTCGTTCTGAGCAAGATTCAAGCCTCTAAGAGGTGTGTGTTTTTTTTATAAAATCTAATTAGTGATTCTTTAAATAGTGTCACAGGAAACACAATTATAAATTTTTTTGTAATATTTTTTGTGTAATACGGTCTAGTTTATTATCATTTTTAATCTTCTTAGACATTTTTTATCTGGGTGACAGCTTTGATGGCAAAGCTGAGACTGGTAACCGAGACTAATGGTAAAGAGACACATTTGGAGAATAAAACAACGGTTTCTGTCTACCTAATAGAAAGTAATAATCCCCTTCTACAAACATGAGCAGAGAGTGTGGACATCACAACACATGTATATAAGACATGACTACACAAGACATGTATAGTGTACCCCTCACATACTATCTCTCCTCGCGAATTAGGGTTATTTCGCTTATCGGTTACTACAGTGGTTATTTTCTTACTTATTACACAATTCATATACTGCTGTTTTATGACAGAAATAGACAAGACAGCAATATCAATTTAAGCTAAACATAAAACTTAGTGTCGCCAGTTAAGATATTATCTGCACCAGTCTTGGCTGAACGTACAGTTCTCAGTACCGCGAGTGCTACATACCGCGCTCTTTATTAATTAACGGTCTTCATTCACGAAGACTCCTACTGCAAATGGAATTAATACGCTTATTTTCTCCCACAGTCATTCCAATGGATGTCACGCGTACTTCAAGCGGTAGATTCGATCCACCAAGTGGGCATTTACTGCCTTGCGCTCGTCCAACCAAACTACTTACCCAAAACCCCTCTGGGTGGTATACATTTGAGCGAGTGCAAGAGACGATTTCTAGAAGGCACGCTGCATCCGGCTAATGTGCTTATGTGTCCACACACGTGTGTTACCAACCTGCCGAAACCGAGGGAGATACATTCCGGTACTATAATCTTAATTTGAATTAACCCTATACTTTTGTTGTGTCTAATATTTTTTTGCTTTGTTGAACAACTTACATCCTGTTATTTGAAAATTGACTGCATAGAAATAAAGGACCTCTAGATAATATTTTTTTATTTGCAGATGTGGGCCCGGCATCTGTTATTGTTGGAAATCTAGTTCAGGGCAACCGCTTGGCTTCTGCTCAAGGCCGTGATATGGGATACACAGATGACTCTGACGCTGCTAGAAAAGTAAGGACATTTTGCATTTCCATTTACGTAAACTGATCTGTTTTGTATGTCAACTCTAACTCGATTTCTTGTTTTCTTGCAGTACCAATTTATATCGCAGATCTTACGGTGGCGAGCTCAAAGTACATCAGACCACGTGATATTCACATTGCTCAATTCCAAAGGGACCGTTTCCAAAGTGCTCACGTGTGCGGAACTACACAAAAAGGCTGAGAGAATCGGCAACTTGCTTCTAGAGAAAGGGAGAGTCAATACAGGAGACCACGTCGCATTAATATTCCCTCCGGGGCTTGATCTCATATGCGCGTTCTACGGTTGTCTCTACGTCGGCGCTGTGCCGGTTACCATCCGTCCGCCTCACCCGCAGAACTTGCACACCACACTGCCTACGGTCAGGATGATCGTCGATGTCAGCAAAGCTACACTAGTCCTCTCCAATCAATCTGTGATAAAACTACTCCGCTCCAAAGAGGCGAGCAATGTTCTCGACAGCAAAGCGTGGCCCATCACGCTAGATACTGACGATATGCCTAAGAAAAAATTGCCGATCCTCTACAGAGCACCCACAGCGGAGATGCTCGCATATCTGGACTTTAGCGTGTCTACCACTGGAATGCTCGCCGGTATCAAGATGTCTCATGCTGCGGTCACCTCGCTCTGTCGCTCTATGAAGATAGCTTGTGAACTGTACCCATCTCGCCACATAGCTCTTTGTCTAGACCCGTACTGTGGCCTCGGATTCGCTCTATGGTGCTTGAGCAGCATTTACTCCGGCCACCATTCGATTTTAATTCCACCGTCTGAAGTTGAAATCAACCCTGCGCTCTGGCTTAGCGCCGTCTCTCAATACAAAGTTCGTGACACGTTCTGTTCTTATGGAGTAATGGAATTATGCACCAAAGGTTTAGGCAGCTCTGTCAATCAGCTTAAATCGAAAGGCATCAACCTGGCTTGCGTGAGAACATGTGTAGTTGTCGCTGAAGAGCGACCACGTATAAACTTGACCAATTCTTTCTCAAAGTTGTTTTCAGCTCTTGGTTTAAGTCCGAGAGCAGTGTCCACGTCTTTCGGATGCCGTGTGAACATAGCTATTTGCTTGCAAGGCGCTTCTAGTCCCGAACCGTCTACAGTGTACGTCGATCTGCGTGCGTTGCGGAACGACCGGGTTTCGCTGGTCGAGCGCGGTAGCCCACATTCACTTTGCTTGATGGAGTCAGGGAAACTTCTCCCTGGAGTGAAAGTTATAACAGCCAACCCTGAGACGAAGGGTCAATGTGGAGACTCGCATTTAGGGGAGATATGGGTGCAGTCACCTCACAACGCGAGCGGGTATTTCACTATATATGGAGATGAGAGCGACTACGCCGATCATTTTAGTGCTCAATTAGTTACGGGAAATACAGGGGAGGTGTACGCGAGGACGGGGTACCTCGGGTTTTTGAGGAGAACAGAAATAAGTACCACGGCCTCGAGCGGTGACGACACGTCGTTAATGGCGCGAGATAGTGATACTGAGTCGTTGGCATCTGCCTGCGGAAGTATGAGTGGACTATGCAGTGACACGCATGACACACACGACGCTGTGTTCGTGGTGGGGGCACTCGATGAGACGATCATGCTGCGCGGCATGAGATACCATCCCATTGACATTGAGAATTCAGTGATGAGGTGCCACAAGAAAATCGCAGAATGGTGAGTATACTTTAGTTTTGGACTGACTTGTAGTGACTGTGTATTTATCTAAAAGAGAACTCAGTAGTATTCTGAAAGTGCGTTCATTCGACCAACTATGAAAATGGATGAGGCAACAGAATTGTAGAATACAGGCTACTGGCACTCTATTTTCTTTATTTACCTCATAAAGGACCTGACTTTTTGATAAGCATATTTTACAACTCCTTTTTTATTTGCTACTCTACTATTAAAATTCTTTTGCACATAATACATGTAGAAATTTATTCCGCAGCGCCGTTTTCACGTGGACAAACTTGCTGGTGGTAGTAGTCGAGTTGGATGGTAATGACAGCGAAGCCCTCAACCTGGTGCCGCTAGTCACCAATACGGTCCTTGAGGAGCACCATTTGATCGTCGGCGTGGTGGTAGTGGTGGATCCGGGCGTGGTGCCAATTAACTCGCGCGGTGAGAAGCAACGCATGCATCTCCGCGACGGCTTCCTGTCAGACCAAATAGATGCCATTTACATAGCCTACAATATGTAACCTGGTACGTGGACTAACACTGTATCCGAGGGTGAGTATTCGCCATAACCGTTCCTGTGAAAGAGTGGATTTAGACTGAAACAAAGAAAAAGAGCTGAAAGCGCGTTGGTTTGTAGACTGTATGCTCCTTATATTTGATATTTGTACGTTTAACTATTGGAAAAGTAAAGGAAGTAATGATTATTTAAATTAAATAAGTTTGGACTAAAAGAAAGAACACTCCTTTATTGATCTTTGTACCAACTTTTTTTTTAAATTAAAAAGTAGGAATGACGATTATTTACACTTTCAGTCTAAATCCATCTTAAAGGTGAGTTTTCTTCAAGAGTATAACTTTGTAGTGTAACAGTTGATTAAGGAGCGGTACACCAATAAGTAATATGTTATATAAAGACAAGAACATGCACATGTAATGTAACGTTGCTCGATTACATGCGCATGTAATATAACATTGCTCGGTTACATGTGCATGTAATGTAACGTTCCTTGGTTATATGCACATGTAACGTTGTTCGGATACATGCACATGTAATGTAACGTTGCTCGATTACATGCACATGTAATGTAACATTGCTCGATTACATGTGCATGTAATGTAACCTTGCTGGGTTACATGTACATGTAATGTAATGTTGCTCGGTTACATGTGCATGTAATGTAACGTTGCTCTTTTACATGCGCATGTAATGTAACGTTGCTCGGTTACATGCACATGTTTGCGGTCAGTACTCACCCTTATGTGACCTATAGACATGCAATGTACAATTATTGGCAATAATAGCTAAATACACCGTTGACTTTGTTCAGATCAATCGCTGTAATTGCTTACTGTTCCGAGTAGATCTCAAATAGTATAGTACAGTTCAAGTAAAGCAGCGTATACACACATTTAAATATAACGGACGTTTTCTATTGTACGGTCAGTATGTAGTTTATATTTTTTAATCTTCAAATGGTTTTTTAATTGCACTCTATTTCGAACGTGTCTACACGCGTGCGCTGGTACGCACACAATACGATACGACTAAACGGATATTGTTTGAAGACTGTAAAAGCTAATATTTAATTTCTAAGCATTATAATATACATCGCTTATCTAATCGAAATTAATCGACACATTTGATTCAGCAATCGAGAGAAGACTGACGTAGAACTGAAGTTGATATAACAGGTATAGTGCACCCGGACCGTGTTTCGAATTATCAAATGGGTTGTGTCACATTCGTGTTTGACATGACTATGTCGAAAAAGATCACAGCTGGAATTTATTGCACTCTATTTACCTCGATAAGCACGGTTGTGTAATCTTGTTTTTTGGATAGAAACATAGTGATTTACATCCGTTTAAGGTATTCTATTAGTGTAATTGGATTTGTTTAAATTTGTCGGTAACAACAAAACAAATTCGAGTGTTTCAAACTGCTCGATAGCTGATTGCTCAATGTAATATTTTTCCCAAATAAACAGGAGTCGCAAAACGATAAAGTTTTCAATATAGTACGGTAGTCTAAATTCCTGTCGATTTTTTTAGGTCACGTCACTTTATTCTTAGTTTCACTGATGTAACACTCCCTTAAAAGGATGTAAATTTGGATTTCGCTCTATCTTCACGTACCCAATGGAATTAATAATTGCCACGTTCTACTACAGTAATAATGTATGTATGTACCTACTGTTAATAACAGGCAAGATGTATGAAACGAACGTCCGATAGTAAATCTTTTATCAATGTGTGTACGAATGATTATCTGAATGTCTTGTTCAAATAATGCACCACGATATACACCAACTATTTAAGTAGGGCTTAGACCTAACGTGTCAGGCGATCCGGGCGACATCTATACGTTGCAGTTGCGTTATGTTAATGCGATTTCCTTGTCAAAATTATTGTTAATACGTAACTTATTGATTTATATATTGATTTAACAATTTATCATTTCGCGTCCCCAATAATTGAGTGTCAAATCATTAGTACTATGATTGCTGTTAATGTAGTAATCTTTAACTTGGCTAGGAGTCATAATCGATGAACTCGTGACGTTTTTATTGTACACAATTATACTGTTGTGATTAATAAGAATCAAGTAATTACTATGCTAGTGTACTATGTAAATGTATTGTGTCGGTAATTTAACTTAGTGTTAATAATTATCGCTGAGTAAAAACAAGAGAACCTGCGTAAACTGCAAGGTTTCTGTCACTTGTCAGTGGTAGATATGGTAGCTACCGGATATAAATTTCAATAATTATATATCATCAAATAATATTATTTCCTGGAAGATTTTTCCCTTCGCATATAGCTTATGAAATATATTTTCCTTTTTATTAAAATATAAGGCTCTTTAAAAAAGCTTTTTTTTTAAGGTCAGTAACGCTCTAGCACCCCATCTCTTCTTCTCATAGCTACCTCCCATTATGCGGAATCTTCTTATCTAAGGTGATTTTACAGTATTAAAGCACCATTTACACAGTTTCGGCTTCGTAACCCCTCAGTACTCAGGCATGAAGTTAATATTGCTTGTGTGCATTTAGTACAAACTGACTCTCATAGCTTCATGTCAAACGTACCCAAAACTCAGTGTCCCTAAAACACTCTCTCATATGCACTTGTCGCCAGTGATATTGATGTTCTCTCTCTATCATGACGAAGTTTTGTATCGTGTAAAAGAATTGTTTTATATATAATTAATGAATACAAAGTATTAGTAAATGCTATAATTTTTAAAATCATATCAATATGTTATATGTACAAGACACAGATTTCACTATAACACATGTATGTAGGAACACGGTTAATTGAATGTACGCCTCTGACCTGGTACTGCCCTGATGATCCAGAGCAGGAATGCCTCAGACACGACGTTGTGTGAACAATCCTTTATTTATTTTTATAAACGATAGTTACCAAATATCCTGGTTGACTAGTGACACGAAGCTTGCAGTCTGCAGGTCCATTTTGGTAATGATATGCATTTAATGTTTTCTAGTTTTTATTTTATACGGTCGACAATAAGTGTTTGGCAGGTTCCGTTCACAGATCAAAATGTGCGTAAAGTTTCCATAGAATAGTATTGAATATGTCGTTGTATTTGATGACGATGCCTTATTGGACGCGTAGGTCAATTATTCCTATGTTTATTTTTTTTATATAATGAATCGTACCAGTAACGGTATAGTAATTTTATTACAGTTTATATCAATACACAATGCAAGGTGGACGTTTCTAAAAAGATTTCACGCTATCGCTTTTAAGAGCCAAAAATATAGCCAAATGCACCGATACAAATGATTCATTCAAATTTCGTTCGTCATCGTAAGAATGAAAACAAATCTCTACAACTACTTTTAGAAACGTTTTCCTTTCATTCGATTCGATTTTTAATTGCTGACGATTATTTTATGTGATTAATAAAATATATTACGTGATTGATAAAAATAAAACAAAGAATTTGATTAAATATATATTTTTTTGTTATAATAAATTGCATTAACAATTTGTAGGTTGATTTTTAATAGATATAGGATATGTGGGTAGCGATATACTTTCAGTAGTACGTGTGAACTTCTCCAGGCTGTTTAGATAAGTGGCAAACAATCTTACGGTATATTATCGTTGCCGTATGCAAAAATTATAAATTAAAAAAATTGCCGCAAAACTTTGATGATGTACTATTTAGAAATTTCAAAATCTTTTTTGCGTAATCTATTCGTAGCTTGTTCTGTTCTATACCTGTTTGTAGACGGTTTTGTAACGAGTTTTCTATGTTTACTAAATTTAATATAACTTATCTGAAAGTATACAGTTACTAGCTACTAAGTTTTTGATCAATATTTACAATTATTACGTTACAATTTAGTGATTTAGCACTTCAATATTCTCCGTCGAGATCACTGTTGTCTTTTTATATTGATATATTTGTGCTAATATAATGATTAGATGCAAAAAAATGTTCAACGATGTCGACTTGAAATATTAATAGGCAGTAAATATAGTTATTGTAATGGTAACACTAATATAATTGCTACATTTTAAAAATGTTACTTTTCAATAAGTTATTACTTTATACTGCCATACTATAATGTATTTATAAAATACAAAAAAAAAAAAAGTATATTGATCGTGGTAAAAATGTAACTGAATAGGTATGATTTGATCATGTTTATTGTTGTGTGTTGTTTCCTTTCATATATTTTTAAGTCTTGTAAGTAATGTTTATTTATAGTCCAAATCATCAAATACAAGGCAGGTATATCTCGCTACTGGCGTTGTTAATAGATGTTTCGTCACAGGATATCTGATGTCAATTTATTGAGTACCTATTTCAAAATAATACTTCTTTTTTTATGTACCTGGTATAATAATTGTTATCCATCTGTCTGTCCGTCTGTCATGACCTATTTCTCAGGAACGCGTGTGCGAATAGGTATTAAACTGGAATCAGTATCAAATACTCTTGCGGTACATTGCAAAAAACAAACTTCAACAATCGAACAAATAAATTCAAACGTCGACGTAATCAATAGATACGACCGTTTATATAGTATATTTTGACATTCACAAGGGAAATAAAACTTTTAAGGTACTTCCCGTGGACTTAAAATCATGAAATTTGACATGAAGCAAAGTCGTGCAGGTAAAAATCCATTGACCTTAAATATGTAGTTACATCACATTTTTTTTTTTTTGCTTTTATATACATTTTTTAAATTGTAATTTGTACGTAATCCTCGATTTATCTAAAAGGTATATTTTACACGTGACCACCTCAACTCGACGAAATTAGTGCGAGACATGATATTTTTTCATCACAACTATGGCTTTAATTTATTAACGTATATAATCAATTTATGCATAACTATACGATGTACTCAACAATTTGACAAATAATATACCCATTGGCATATCTATATGACGGACTTTAGTAAAAGAATTATAATTATGTACATCGTAATCGGTAACTCGGTTTAATCGATCGAATGTCTATACTCGATTCACATAGACATCGTTCGTTCTGTAATTTCAAATGTCGAATCATTTTTCTTTAAATTTCCATGTGTGTGTGTACGAACAATAGATTGTTGACATGACTTTATAAATAATTAATTAGATAATTATTTCTAATTTATGAATTATTCTTAAATGGAAGTTGACCGATTGCGATGTACTTTGTTCACCTTCATATATAATTTACATGTAAGATTCACTTATATTAAGAATCCAATACATAGTGCGGATTCTATCATATTATTATGTGATTTCATTCCAATATGTTTACTAACAACAAATTACAATAGGAATATAAAAATCTGATTCAATTTATTTTTCAATTATTTAGATTCTGTTATTGACAATTCTTTTATTTTATACGAATAAATATTCATTTTCCTTATTATTCTTTTGTAATTATTTATTGCTAAATTGTAAATATATTTTTGTTATTTAATTTTACGTTAAATCATTTCTGTACTTTAGCTATTAAATGTTGTTTTGACTATAATAAATGAATAAGAATATAAGAAACGTAATGTCTAGCTGATTTTGTACTAAATCAGATTATCTTTTAGTTTGCAAAATATAAATATATAATTTTCATGTTTATTACAAAATGTAGTCAACTTACTGAATAAGTATACAAGTAGATAACTCAGTTCGGTGAACAAATATGTTTTATAATTTGTAACATTTCATTATTGTAATTGTGAAGTATAACGTGTCTGTACAAGGCCCGAAGATTAAGGTACAGTCCGCGACAAAAGTACCTAGCTGTATCGTTGATATTAGCAATAGATAATGATGGACACCATGAGTAACGTTATTATACTTTTGCCGGTGACTGTACATAATTTAAAGGGTAGTCGACACTGGTGTTTGCACTATTATTAATATATTATGTTTATTTCACTGCTATAGACAGTGGCACATTCGTAAATTATGTTGTATTACACTATTTAATAGGATTCTAAAGGAGATTGCACACTAGCGGATACATAGTACTTATTAATGTTCTTAAAATATATCAGTGTTCAAGTATGTAGTTGTTGTAGTATTTAAATATTGTTCAAACAATGTGTTCTTCTTTAATAATTAACAAGTTACACGATTAAATAAAATGTAGATGTTCAAGTGGGTTTTTATTTCTTTTTGTCGTCATTATGTAGTTTACATTATAAATATGTAAGTTAGTACAGTACCGATTATAGGATTAATAATTAACTGAATTCCGTATCTAATTAATATAAAAATAACTCAGAATAAAAGCATAATTGAGATTACTCTAGTAATTTAGTTGAGGTATGAGTAATTTAGTAGTTAAACATTATTTCAGTTCTAGTTCTAGTAGTTACTATAAGTTCAGCAAAATTGTGAATTAATATAGTCGAGTCGAAAGGTTTTATTATTAAATCACTCACATCTCAATTAAAAGTAGATATTGGAGGGCGTCATTAATTTTTGAATTAATATATAACATAATTTGTTGTTTTGCATTTTACGACTTGATTCATTATTTGCTGAAGAAGGAATTGAACCCTCTTGAATAGATTTAGGGTGAAAAGCGGAATGACCCTCTCAATTATTGGAATTAAAATATGATAATGCTATTGAATGCTTTTCAAAAGAAATGTCTACATATATTACAAGTGCGTAGCTACAAATTTGAATATCGGTATAAGAAATCTCTGCTCAATTGTTTCTAAGAATGTGTTAGTAGACATTCAAGTAGTATTTTATTTTTATTTATCAGACGTTATCAAGCTCAAATTAGCAAATTTAATTAATATTGTTATCAATTGATTTTATATATCAATATTCAATAACTTTCATTGTGCACTCTCCTTTAGAATTTTATATACTATGTAACACGCACAAAATTATTATTTGAAAAAAAAAATTGTGTTCAACAGAATAATGCAACAGATTTGTAAAGATTATTGAGACAGTGTCAAACAGACAGATACCGCTTGTACGATTTGTGATTATTTTCTGGAATAAATAAAAATGCATTCTGGTTTGAGACATTTATTTCATTCTACACATCAACACCTAACATCGAGATTTTCAATTGGCAACAAGTATTATCTATTGATACATTTATTAAATCCAGTTTTAATGTTGTACATAATAAAATATAATAACATTCAGATTATCGTTTTTTTAAATAAATAAACTTAATTATAAACATTTTTAAATAGTAATTTATGTATCTGCCCTATTCTAAAGTTTCAGCTGAAAAAATGGGCCAAAAAGGCAATTGTTGATTTTTAGAAACAATGATTAAGATTTAGTAATTATTTAAAAATATATAAATCTATACAATGATATAACTTTAGAATCAGTAGCAGTATTCTTGACTAGACCACATCTTACAAGCATCACCCGTTCACAAGTATGACGAATGAGCCAACTATCGTTGTATTCAACCATATTGTAGTGAGCCTAACGACCCGGCACACCACGCCGCCACCAGTCTTGACATTACAGTGAACTTGACTTTAAGGTACTCCCTAGTCTAACAATTAGGCTCCCTGATCTTAATAGGTATAACATAACGCTGCTACTGTTACATGTGAGTGTTTTAAAATAAATTTTGCTACAATAACTACTATACATTGGACCAATATATAAATATCTAGTAACATGGAATAAATTTTGATATTTAACAACAAAGTGCTCATTAAAATATAATTTGATTACGTATCCTACGTGTATTACATTTATTTTGACAGTAAAACATTTTTTATCACTAAATAGTTTTCTAAGTATAATGTTCGTTATAGTCATTGTGACTATAGCAAACATCATTCTGATAAAAATTTACAATAAATAGCAATATTCTTGAACACACAGAAAAGACACGAATATAACGGATAAGCCAGCTATCGTTGTGTTCAACCAAATTATAGTGAGCCCAACGAGCCGGCCCACCGCGCCGCCACCAGTCAAATCATTATAGTGAGCATAATTTCAAGGTACTAACTACCTGGTGTAACAATTAGGTTCCCTAATCTTAATGGGTATAATATAACGTTGCTACTATTTCAAGTTAATATTTTGAAACTAAATTTCTACAACAACACTGTATATTTTACTAAAGTATAGATATCTAGTAACATGGAATAAATTTTTACACCTATATTCAACAACAAAAATTATTAAAATAAAATTTGAGTGCATATTCTATGTACATTAGAGATCATTTGATAGTTTAACATTTTTATTAACTAACTAGTTTTATCAATGTGATATTTGTTCTAATAATTGTAACTATCACAAAGATCATTCTGATAAAACATTATAATAAATAGCAATATTCTTGAACACACAGAAAAGACACAAGTATAACGGTTAAGCCAGCCATCGTTGTGTTCAACCATGCTATAGTGAGCCCAACGACCCGGCCTACCGCTCCGCTACCAGTCTAGTCATTATAGTGAGCGTAACTTCAAGGTATACCCTGGTGTAATAATTAGGTTGCTTGATCGGAATATAACATGGCTACTGTTTCATGTGAGTATTTTGAATTTAATTTTCTACAACAACACGGTAATTGTACTAACACATACAATATATAATACAACAACGAGAGCAAGGAGGAGCAGTAATTCTGATATTGGTAATTACTTTACCTACTGGAAAAACTCAAGTTAAGTGTTTTTAATAAGTAAAGTACAATAAGTAGTTGTCATAAGGTACCAGTTTATTGTGACAAATAATTTTTTTTTGTATATTTTTTTATTTAATTTTTTTTAATATATAAACACTTAATTACATGGAATAAAATTTTATACATCTTCCTCCTGCTTTTTCCTGTTTAAGGTGGGCATACTATATTTTTTCTTCCATTCATCTCTATTTACAGTCATCTCACTATTAACTCCCTTTTTGGCCATGTCATCTTTCACACAGTCAATCCATCGTCTTCTAGGTATCACCCTGCACTTATGACCATTCGTACGTACCACATTCTCCACTTCCCTGCGCATCACATGTCCATACTACGACAAACCGGAAGGGGGGGCGAGATTATTAGTAATGGAGATCTAAAAGCTCCATTGCTAGCAATATACCCTATCAAATCGACCTCTACGTGGTTTCCTCTAAAAACCAACATGGTTAATCCTTCTTTAGTTCGTCACGATAGGCCAACTAGCCTACTTTCAACCTCATCTATCATGTGTTACTGGTGCCCCGCCAGCGTATACCGATAGCGCAGGCAGGGGTATCATTCCATTTTAACCTATAAAAAAAAACACGAAAAACGATTATTTCTCTATCAGTTTCGAACTTCCTTTTATGTACTCATTCTTGATCTTATCCATTCTCGTCAAACCATACATTCATCTCAACATTCACATCTCAGTTCTTTTAAAGTCGTTTTTCATATGTCACTTTTTTATACTTAAATTTAACAAAAAAATCACTCAAATAAAATTTGAGTGCGTATCTTAAGCTCATTATATAATATTTATTTTGGCAACAATATATTTTTTACAACTATATCACAATACATTAACAACCTAATTTGAGTAGTTCAGTAAATTTAAACACGCATTCAATATTTAAATAAGAATAATTAAGATTGTATTCCACGAAAAAACGAGTAGCGAAACTAAATTATTCTGTTGTAAAAACTAAACTACTCGACCGATTTTGATAAAATTTCTTTAAAACTGATCTATTAACATTTATGTTAAAAATATTTTTTCACAATGCTTTACAACTGACGGAGTTATGAGGTAACAAACAAAAAAAAACACAACCGAATTGAGAACCTTCTTTTTTTTTGAAATCTATTCGAAATATGAAAAATATTAACATATTTAATTAATAAAATTAATTCCTACATTTTACACCTATATCACAATTGAAATCATTTGGAAGTTATTAATTAATTATGTATATAGAAGCCTTTATAACATGGGGTTTAGTAACTTATTTTTTAAATATAATGAAGAAAAACAGTCTTCATATTCCTGGTTGGCACTCTCGTGGTTCTATACAGCAAATGTGATTTTGTTTAGTACAATATATAAAAACAAAATCCATTTGTGAATATACCACTATCTACTAATAATAAGTAGCATTAATTTGCTGTTACTGTCTAATATCGTCACGACCAGTTCGTTCCTAGGAAGACAGTGTGAATCAAATACCAACGACCTTTATACTAACTTAACATAATTTCTAAGAATAACAAAATGTAATTACAAAAGTACAAGAAGCTACCTACTACAAATTATATTTAAATGAAATCGAATCCCAGGGGCTCACTGAGTTGATCTCATTAATCTTAAGCTAAATACTGACTTATAATTCTTAATTAAGTTAAATTACAATACAATACTATGTTGTTTTAATACTATAAATTCTACTATGAACACTTAGAAAATACCTACCTACTATGTTACATAACATTTAGTCAATCCATAAACGTAGTGTAACGTTCTTATGAATTGACGAACTAGAAATATAATCACAGAGATGAGACAAGATTACCACTTACACTACTGTGCGTATATCTTAGTGTGTGCAAGTGACAGATTCCAATTTAAAGTTGAAAAAATAACAAATATTCACGTATTTGTTATTGTTTCAATTTCAATTTGCCGGCATTCAGAACTATTGGGATTTATCAACCTAATGTACGAAATATTACGCATGATTTTATAATGTATTTAAAGAGCTAAAAGTTTAAATGGATTTTTGTGAAAATGTATGCTTTTTATTTTAATTTATATTATAACGTGCAACACAGCACTCTAACAAGCTAGGTGTACTAACAACTAATCTCACTTTATTTGTCCATAACTCCCGTACCGCAGTTTCGTACTAGCCTAAATCTATGCATCAATTCCTTTTCGTGCTTATATAGCTGAACTCCCTTGTTTACCTCTCTCACTCTAACATATCAATTATATACTTTAAATCTATCAGTTCAATATTTAGTTTTAAACAAGGACGTATTTAGATATTTGACAAATAAATAATAAGTTAAAAAAATTAATCAGCATATGGAGAAAAAGTACCTAAGACCGAAAATAGACGATTCTTTAGAGAAGTAATAAAATAAAATTGTATATAATTATTTTCAATAATCTGCTCGAATCGAAGTAATCATAATTCATTGTACGAGTATAATGTTTGAATGCCATACAAGCGGACAAACCACGATATGAAAATAAAATATAATAACCATCCCTTACCGATATTGCGGATGTGACGCTAATATTTTCGAAGCAGAATAAAATTTGTTCCGTTGTGAATTTACCTACTATTTCCCATATTCAATACACATCTCCATGTTTATTTCTTTTCCATCCACAGCTACGGGCAGTATTTTAAAAACTAATTATCGACTTGGTGTCAAACTTACACGGAATGTTTTATTTTCAGTTTTATAGATTTGAATGTATGCGAAACATTGAATTTAATGAATAAGTGACGTTAGATTCTAAATTTAGCTACTATTTTTTTAAACAACCTATATACAAAGGATCAGACTTTTTGTATTTTTATTTTATTTATTTTTTTAAGAAACAGTTGATATATCTACTAACAATTAAATATATTACACTGTATAGATGAAATAGTACTTATACAACTATAATTCAATAGTTATATTAGACGCAGAACACAGATAGAGGCCACGTTTTTTTTTTTGTTTTTTTGCTTGAGCAAGCGTTTGATATAAATGTTAATAGCTAGAATACATGTAGGTATATATATATATATATATATATATATATATATATATATATATATATATATATATATATATATATATATATATATATATATATATATATATATATATATACATATTATTTTATTATCAGTGAACACATATACATATAACATTATTTAATTAATTAAACCTAATGAACCAATGTGGTTACAATATGAAGGTATCTACTCAGTACACAAATACTATATTTACAATCTCAGTTTCAGTCTAAACTTAAGAAAAATTTATTTACATATATATAGATATATATAATTTATTACTTTTTTATGAAATATAAATTTGACTATCTACTAATTATTACTACCAATAATAAATCAATATTTATAAAAATTTAAAAATATGTTACAGATATAATATAGTCTTTTAAATTTATCATGTCTTAATTGATTCTGCCATAAATTCGATTTTATTTTTCATATCTACAATTCACTCCACAGTCTGTTTTTTATTTATTCTATTCATCAGGCAGTGATGTGAGGCCTCATTAGATCTTTCGCTTTATTGTTGGCAGTGTTAGTTTTTTTTAACATAATAAGAGTTACTACAACTATAAAATAGAAACACCTAAAAAAAACAAAAATTGTAAATTACGAATTTTTGCAATAAAGTAAAGGCCTGTCTGAAAGTAAACGTTTACATAGCTTTTGAACTAATCCGCACCTATTCGCTTGTAAGAGTTGTGTGTCCGAAATCCTGTAAGTACGGTGACACAAACCGATCTTGATAAACCTTTAGTCGTTGTAATTAAGGTTTAGTTTTATTAAATCTTATGCGAACTTGAGCTTTCGTAACTTTGTAAACCATGAGCAAATACACATTCCTCGTTCTATTCCTAGAAAGTTATGGTTAGGCACTTTAATTTGACCATTCTTCAATACATCAACTATTTGGTCGACTAACGTTGGACTTAGTTCGTTTAGGCCTTTACTAAAATACTAAATAACTACTAAGGTCTCTATTTCCTCTATACCTATTCTTACTCCGTTCAAATCTATTTTATTAAACAATGCCACCACTATTTTTCAAGCTGTTTTTTTTTTAATATAAATAGGCACCTACCTATCTTGGATTCCTGCAAATTCAAAAGATTTTTTTTAATGATAAAATGGAATAGTAATCTAAAAGGAAAATTAAACCTTTATCAAAAAATAGAAGCATGCTCCAAAATCTACAAAATCATTAACCCAGTTGCAGTGTTTTCTTAGTTTAATACATTATTATAGAAAATTTATATTATGTTTGTCGGAAATATATCAGATGAGGATAAAAGCAAGTTAGTTAACCCATCGTGATGAACTCATTAGGAATTAAACACGATAGTTTCCAGGGAGCTGTCGGCTAGAGTTCGATCTGATATATTATAGGGCATATTGCTAGCAATTGGATAGTACTCCCCATTACTAATGGTGATGTGATGATTGACCGATTTCTCAAAAACTGATATGTCTTGGCCAGCGACTGTGGATGGTAGAAACGGTTGAAAGACGCTTTAACATTGGAACTCCACAAGCTATGGATGAGGTAAGTACCTACAATTTAATAGTTCGCAATTATATTAACTTCATCTACCTCATACGAGTAAAGCATCTGCCTGTTTATCTTCACGGTGAGTCCCTTATGGGGTAGACAGAGAGTTGGTCTCAAAGACCTGTGTTAGATAGATATGGTGGATATAATGGGCCAATTAAGGAAAGTTGTTTATCATCTTTTTTTATGACATATAATATAATGGCTAACAAGCTGACGACTCATCTGATGGAAAGTGGTAAACGTCGCCTATAGAAAAGAGGATCGCTAAACTTTCAATTATACCATAATTTTAATAATATAATAAAATTTTAACTAGGTGATGTCTGCATATTTAGAAGAAAAAAAATATATGAATGACCTTAAAAGAAACAATATAATAATATTTTTGTAGCTATTTTGTCTCGCTCTATGTTTGTTCGCGCATCGCGCAGAAACTGCTAAACCAAATTGAATAGGATTTAACAGAAGTATTCCTGAAGGTCTAACTATCTGGTCTATGTTTTATCCTGATAAATGATTATATATATCTGAAATTTAGACATACGAGGTTACGGATAAAAACTAGTAATTTATTTTTTGTTATGCCACTGGTATTACTACGAGTGGCGGTAAATATAGTGGTGACATTGCGATACGATTAACAGTCGATAGCAACTCTCCAATATTTTTATAAGTGCAATTAATAAGAACAATAAAAATAAATACTGATAAAATTAAAGTGATCAAGTGAAGACAAAATATCAAAACAAGGAAGAATTGAAAATAAAACATTTTAGATTAATCATTCGTAGTCTTCACTTATATGTATGTAGGAAGCGCGGAGTACACGGTTTGAGGAAATACGCAAGCCGTCCAGGCCTAAAAGTGCATTTCTAACCTGTTCGTCGGTGCTGTATTCAACGATCACTGCATCATCCCTGTATGTAGCAGGGTGGAGGCCCAGGAAGCCTGGAAACCTGCAAGAATTTAACAAATTAAGTCAACGGAAAACCCAAAAGAATCTCAGAAGGTGAATTATTAATAGTTAAAAATTTTAAACAAAACGTAATGCCTCCTATCAAGAAAAAACTAGAGTGAGAATAATTTATGAATAAATAATAATAATCGCAAAAGAATTTTTAAAATTAGTACCAAAGTATTATATTATTTTGAAGTGAGGTTACAAGGTACAGGAGCACAACATCTTAGTCCTCAATAATGGCAACGCAAGAGGGGTAATTGTCTTACACGGGCATTATCACTGTATCTCGTAGGATATATCTTAATCGTCATAGTCGTAGAATACTTACGGATATATATATATATATATATATATATATATATATATATATATATATATATATATATTCTACGATTATGACGTAATGTCTATAGTAGTGTTCATGTCTATAGACGAAGGTTAGCATTCAATGAGATTGTCCATAAACTTATTGCTCATTACGAGTTGTATAAAAAGAAAAAAAAATAGCGTAAATGTCACGTAACAATACACAAAAATAAAATAACTGATTGTAGAATCCTTATTTTTGAAATCGCTTAAAAATCATTCCAATTTTCAACGTGACAAAGCTTAGAACGTGACTAAATCATTATACGTGATTGTAACCTAAAATACTGACTTACCGAATGACATAATGCAGTAACCAGGCCTGGGTGAAGAATGATGTCTTGAATGTTGGGTAATTGGAGAGTTGCAAACAAAATCGCGCCGTTCTTGGTGGCATTATTGCTTGTGATCTCGAATACACGCTTGTCAATTGCCTCCTTCCGTCAGAGTATTGGTGCCAGCTAATATCGAGGTTCCTCTCTCGGAAGGATGTGTTGTTTTCGTTATTTATACATGTTATCGATGCGACTGTACAATTACAGCGACAAGGACAGACATAGTATTTTCGAGAACTTCTGCGTCTTTCGTTCGACGGTTGCGGACTTTCTGTTGATGACGTCGATGTTGAAAAACAGCATAAGTTGATTAATATGCACCGTCTCCAAAAATTTGCAAATGTGCTCTGATTCTGTCGAGTTGTTTTATGAGCTATAGAGTCGCTATCGTAATTAGTACTGGCGTCGCGTCTGTCGGGTGTAGATCTTTTTGTCGATGGATTATGAACAGGTAAAGAATTTGGTACTCTTAAAGGTATATTTTCAGTGATGTGGCTTGTTGACGGATTATTACCGCCTTCATCTGTCTCTCTATTATTTGTAACGGATCTTTTAGATTTTAATGCGTTCATTATTAATGTAATGCAACATGGACTCATCGGTGGGGAATAGTCATACAGAGATTCATTTCCTTCCGAGTCTGAACCGGCTGCTTGTATATCACTGTCAGGTGAACCAGATCTTTCTCGCTCGGTCATTGTGGCGAATTAAAAGTGGATGGTGTAGGAAAATTATAATATCTGTGAAAAAGAAGCGGATTTGTTATATCAAGATAATTTCTGAGCGCATTATTGTTTCAACTTCTGGATCCCAAACGTCGTAAATTCAAATCTAGCCCTATCAAAATTAGTCAATATTGGTCGTTGAAATATTTTGTTTATTTATCTATTTTTTATAATATAAACCAAATTACAGACGAAGCATACCAAAAAAATTATATGTAGAACAAAACCACGAGGTTTTTCTGAGGTACCATACATACTGCTTACTATTATACGAATGGGGGGAAAGGGTTTGTTAGCAATGGAGTTTAACAGCCACATTGCTAGCAATATGCCTTATTAGGTCGACCTCCACGTGGAAACCATGTTCTCCCTGGAAACCATCGTGAACAATTCTTGTTGAATTCGTCACGATGGGCTAACTGACCTACTTCATCCTCACCTATCATCCTTCACTGGTGCCCCGCCTGTGTATACCGATAGCGCGAGTGGGGTTACCATTCCATTATCATCCATTAAAAAAACTACTATACAAATGTATACAACACAATTAGAAACATAAACACTGTAATATCAATGTTCGTAATTTGGACTTTAGAGTTATATTTTAATATTATAACTACCGGTTTAACTTACGTCTAATTTGGTAGAGAAAGTTCTACTAGTTTCGGAAACATTCGGAACTCTTAGTCTTACCCCTTTATTTATAATAAGGTCAAACCTCTCATCAAATAATTTTAACTATTGAAGTGTTTTGTTACTTTCTTTTAAATTGAGAATTTAGCGCAAAAAGAAAGACAATATACTTAAATAGGCTAAAATAGGTTTACGAAACGTTTGACATTTTTATGAATTAGGGGGTTAGTATTTTTCTTTAATTAATTTGCTTATCGGATCTTCCGAATTGTCCTCAGCGGAAATGTTAGTCGATAGATAATATTTTTTTTATAATGATACTAGCCTTTGTCCGTGACTTCGTGTGCTTGGAATTTAGAAGTATGAAAACAAAAGTAACAGACCCCTCCTAATTGGCGTAACAAAATATATTAGTTTTTATGTCAGACCTTCAAGGACAAAATAATGTAAATTACGTCCAATTTGGTACTTGATGCCGAAATAAACAACGCTATATATAGATAAAAATTCTTATTTTAATGTCACTAGCTATTATTAGAGCCCTCATATCAATTTTCCTTAAATATCTCTTTGATATCTAATATATGTAGATATATATAAAATACAAATTTTATTATTTGTATTTTAATGACGTCTATAAAAATAATAATAAATGACGTAATATTTTTTTTTATTTAAGATAATTAAATAGTAAAGGCTTCGCCGGCAATATCAGATCGATCTCTACGTAATTCTCCTGGAAACCATCGTGGTTAATTATTTAGGAATTCGTCACGATGGGCAACTGACCTACTTTCATTCTCACCCATCGTCTCTCATTGGTGCTTCTCCTATATATACCGATAGCGCAGGCGGAGTTACCATTCGGTTATCATCTATTAAAAAAAACTCCGCCTGCGCTGTTGGTTCACGCGGGCTGGGGGTTGAGGGTTAATAGATGAAGTTTAAATAAAGATTACGTTATAATATGTATATTGATATTTTAAGTATGTAATAGAATGTATTATTCTAAATTTAAAATAGGGAGGCGAATATTTCCGGAGAAGATCGATTTTTATATCGATTCGAATCTAATTAATAAATCTGATAATCGATACACTAAGATGTCGAGATCTAAAAGATCGATTTTTCAAAAATCTTTTTTTTTCAGTATGTATTTTTAATATTAATTTAAATTAAATTATGGAACACAAAATGAGCACCAGTCGATACTTTATAATTTATATTAAATTTTTTTAAAGCTACATATATCAAATATCCAAGCCCATCTTCCTGTGTATTAATTTCATTTTTGTTGTGAGTATAAAAATTAGTACGTATGAAAACTACATAATTATATTTTCAATACAATCGCTTTTATATAATTAGTTTAAAAAATATATTTCCCATGTTAATTTTTATCTTCTAATTTAAACCCGAAACTTGGATATGATATTTATATCAATTTTAATAATTTAATAAATATTTTAACCTGATTTCATGATTTTTTTAGTTTTACTTTTTAATCAATGTATAAAAGTATTTTTGACATTAACTTTCATCCCATATCATAATTAGGAGATGAATTTTGAGAAATGCTGTAATAAAATTTAATTATTATTGTACTTGTATAAGAAGATATAACATTAATTTCAAGTAAATCGGTTAAAGAATAACAACATACTTTCTAACTGCATTAGGTTGACTGGAAGAGATGTCTGTCAGAGATAAGTCCACCCTTGCTTCCAATATTTATAAATGCATTAACAATGTAATTTATAAATGCAATAAAGAATATATATAGAATACATAGTTCCATACAAATTCCAACCCTATTTTTATACCTTTAGGAGCAAAATTTCGAAAAATCAGTGCAGGCCATAAAAGGTATCTACTGTCTAAATTTGGCATTTCTAGCTTTAATAGTTACGGCTGCACGTCGATGAATCACTTGGGTTATTTCTGTTTACTTTATCCCTTTTTTAATACACTTTAGGGTTGAATTTTGAAAAATGCTGAAATTATGTTTTATTATTTTTATTTAATAGTATTTATAGTAAATGTCAAGTATCTAAATCGGTAAAAAAAAAGTACAAACTTACACCCTTACATTTACACTGTAAGGAGCCAAATTTCGAAAAATCCTTTTTTATTAGTTGTTTGTGTAAGATGTGAAACAATCTACTGTCAAGATTTGGCGATTCTATTTTTAGTAAATTTGGTTTTACGTCGATGAATCAGTAGTATTTTTTCGGTATAGATATATATATTTAATATTTAAAGGTCAAGGGTACGGCAGCAGCCTAACTGCGGTTGTTAACCCGCCCGCCAAGCGTGACAACAATCCCCTGTTATGGGGGCGGCTTGTGCTCAGCAGTAGACCCTTAACAGCTAATGTACTGATGATGATGATGATTATATATAATTTATTTTTAGATGTCTTTACCCTTAGTCGATAGCTAAGTTCCTGATCCTGCTAAATTAGACAATTTAGAGGTGTGCAGTCACCACCCACTTTCTCCCACCCTTAAATACGCTTATAATATTTTAGCGAGTCACACATATTGAAATATTATATCCAAGTGTGTGTTAATGTCCACCGTTAACCATCGAATAATGTACTTCGATCATGTCATGAGAAACTGTAATTTTTTCTAAATTTTTTCTTATTTCGACGTGTCAACTCAAAATATAGGAGACAGAATCAAGAATAATGTAGTACTGAATAGAGACGATTGTACCAGTTTAATACGATGGGTATGGGATACGTCATAATATGTTTATTCCTGATCTTGAAATGGGTATCAAACACTTCAAAAGTGGGCCGTCCCCTCTTATAATTTAATACCTTTTATGTTTAAGATGCTTCTTGTGATGTTGGTCTGGCAGTGATGTAGTTTATTTAAAGATTTTTCTGTTAGAGACTAAGTCTGACATCTATATGATAAGCACGGTAACAGACACATTAAATATTTTTTGTTTTTGCACTAAAGGTATCGACTATTTTTTAATATCTCTTTATGTGACCAAAATCTTTTCGTAAATGCTTTGTATTCTTCTATTTCTTCTTCTATACTATTATTATTAATTTTTATTTTTGATGTATGCAATGACACTGCAATCTGCAAATTTTAGATGATTGAGATATTCGCCATTCACAGTTAAACCAAAGCCATTCCAGTCTATATTTCGGAATATGTTTTCTAATACTACAGAAAACAGTTTTGGGGCGATAGAATCTTCTTGTCTGACACCTCTTTTGACTTAGAATAGGATTCCAATTCCCTTTAACTTATCTTGTACCGGACTTTGAGGATATATATTTCGACTTATCCTTATGTATTTCTTTGGCATAACTTGATCTAGCAAGGCTTTTACAAATAATAATTTGTTCTATAGTATCGAATGCTTTTGTAAAGTCAATAAATCACAGGTTATATTTCTTATTATATACATTGTATTTCTCGATTACTTTTTTAACTACGTGTATGTGATCCAAAGTACTGAAATTTGTTTTAAAACCAGCCTATTTCTCAGGTTGATCTTCTTCTAACATGTGTTATAGTCTAGAAAGTATTATTTTTGAAAAACTTTTGTACATGTTCGTCATTAGACTAATAAGTCTATAGTTACTAATTTCTTTTCTATCACACTTTTTATTTATTAATTATATTATCGATTCAGTCCACTAGTGTAATATTTATTCTGTTTCATTTACCAGGTTAAATATTTTTGTCAAATTTATACTTGTGTCCTCAATTGTGGCCTTCAGTTCTTTACTAGTTATTATGTCTGCACATGGTGACTTGTCAGACATTATTGCTAATATGTTTCACTTTTTAAAATCTTCGGAATGTTTTTTTCATATTCCTTCCCAGATGTGAGAATTCAAGTTGTTTTCTATTTCCTTATATGTTTTTTCGATTTCATAAGTTCTTTTTATGTGTTTGTAGTGTTTCAAGTCTCTTGACCTCTCCATGTTTCCGTATTAGTTCATTGATCTCTTTGCTTACTTCTGTTATCCTACGATGTATATTTCTTAACATCTATTTTTAATGAGATCTTATCTGAATTATAGACGTTTAAGTATTTCCTCTTCTGCCTGTTTTTGTGTTCCAAATTTTCCATTAAAGTCACGCATAAGATGCTTATGAGCGTTTTGAATTGTACATTATAAAACTTGTTACTGATTTCTTCCTTTGCTTCTTCTGTTGGAACATTAGTTTGGATGATCGATCATTCGGTGGAGTATAGTTTGGTATTTAGGATAGGTATTTTTTGCGATATGCCAACAAATTCTATGATTTGTTTATTAAGTAACTTGTACACTATAAATCCTACTCCAAAAACTCCTGGTTTTCTTCCTTTGTAACATAGGATAAAGTAATGATGTTCTTCTATGTTTTCACCGTGTCTTCGGACCTCAATTCATGTTTGGTATTGCCGTTTAAAACAGCCAAATTTTCATCAGACATAAGTGTCATGGTATCGAGAGTGGCATTGTGGTACTGTTCGTTGTTTATTTGTTTTCTCTTAATTAATGTGTTTTTAGTATTAAAATTTGTTTTTTGATCTTGAGGGTTATAGTCATTTAGCTCCACTGTGACCAACCGATTTGGAGGAAGATATTATCCTGTTTATTTTTTATTTTGTTTTTATTGCTTCTATTTTTATGCGTATTTTTCTGGTTTTCAGTTAATAATTAGTTTTATCTCTATTGTATCTAATAAAAAGAATTTGATCTCGATATCATCATTTCAAAGACGTTGAACCAGTTTTCCTTGCTGTTTTCGAGGTTTTTCATTTGTTGATGAAGGTTGGGCTCTCATATGTTTTTCCGTATTTTTCTTCTTTATTATAAGTTTATCGTACTTTATGTAGCTGTATTCCCTTCTTTCTTCTTGTAATTTTGGTTTTAATTGCTTTAGCGTTTCTAATATGTATGTCTTTAGGATATTCTTCTTTTATGTATATGCCAATGAGCAGGTTGTTCTTATTTTAAAGTATGATGTGTTTTTTCCATACAATTGTGAGCTGAACTAAAATTGGCTGCATTTTTCGAGTTTTAGTGACCATAATTCTACATACAGCTTTTCTTGACAATCTATTTTTATGTCTGCTTCTTCGATAACTTCCTTTATATTCTGTACTAAATCAATTGAAAATTTATTGAAAACTTAACTCCTAATTCTGGGAACCAGAAAAATCAGAGCTAGGTAATGCATTTTCGACCCCTCTCACCTAAATACGCCTATGATATTTTAGCGTATTAAAAGTTTTTTTTCAAGGGAAGGCTGACACCTTAAAAAGACGCATATGTACTCTTAAACAACTCTGTCCAACGTCAAATCCGATCCTGATCCTACAAGGTCTTATCCTAATCTTGGAGTAGACACGGCGCCCACCAAGTACGCCTAATAAGTTTTTCCAAATGCTGACGCCTAAAAAATCGCATTTATACTCTTAAACAAGCCTTTGTTCATAATTGAAAGGTCTGTTTCTGATCCTAAAGCGGGCATCAAATAATTCTAGGGTGGGCATGCCGCCACCCCTCTGCCCAGTACGCTATGTTGACATGTCACCACTTGTCAGCGCGGTAAAGCGCGGTCCGGTTGCCGTGCCGCCCTGTGTAATTTCCGCGATTTTCATAAAGCGTAAAAGATACAAATAATAAATTACTATCGCTGGAAATCCTACACATCGCCATCTAGTAAATAAAATAATAATATACCACTGGACATCATACATTGGGTCTAAAACCAAGTAGAACTGTGGATACTAGAAAACTTATGTATTTCTTTTGTATATATCACCTAAAAACGCCCAGACAAGTGCAAACAGCATCGAAGTCAATTACAAATGTTTGTATTGTTCGGGATCGAACCTATGACTACCAGTTTGCGTTTAACCACTACGCTAACTTGGTAGTCACTTGGTAGTCGTCGTCAAATATGTGAACAACGCGGAAGTATGCGGCGCTAACATCGCTGCGTGTTTTAGTGCTAAAGTTCAAACGAATATAGTTCATAACAGTGAGTATAAAGAGATTAAAATTCCATATTAGAAGCAGAATAATTAGATGGAATAGTTTTATTTTAATACATCTAAGCAATATTGTGACAGAAATTCACATTAAAATTTTTATTAATTTTCTGTATGTTGTTTCGAAATCTTTTTAATTTAAATATTTATAACGTCAGTATTATTAATTTTTTTTTCTTTGTTTATTTCATATTTTTCTCTTCTATTTTTAACTATATTTTTGACAAATTTGTTTTGTAATTGATAACTGAATATTAATTTTTAGTATTACAATATTTTTAAGTGAGTATTAGGTAGATAGAATAATAAATGAAAGTTAGACAGTATTTAATGTGCATTTCTTTTACCGCGCATTTTATATTTTTACGACTACAAGGCTTTTTAAGGCTACAAATTACTTATTACATTGAAAAATTCTGTTAAAATCAGGATAAAATTAATAAAATGCAGTAAGATTTAATTTCAAATTTAAAACACTGAATCTTTTACATACAATTAAAGTTTGTTTTACAGATAAGCATAGGCAAGTACGCACCTGCAAATAGCAAATGAAATTGCAAGCAAATACCAAAAAGTTCATATATTTTCATAAAGAACATTTCTACATCTTTATGCCATAATAACAAAAACGATCGGAACAAAAGTTAAAGTAAGTTTAAATAAAACAAAACGCTCTTTGTACTAAGTTCAGACAAACATTTATACAACTTCGTACAAATAAAACTTTAAAACAGGAACGCATGCGTATATAAAATTTAAACATCTTACAATACCAGCGGCGAAGCATCATACATTTAAATTATTAATACAAATCGCATAATGAAAAGCAATCATATCACTATAACAGTAAGCATTTAAAAATGGTCACATTAAAACATATTCATGTAGTTTGTTTCAATAAAACTTCACAAAAATTTAAACAAACGAACCATTGACCCGATTATAAAATAGTTTGCTGACGTCTAATAGTTTTAAAATAAATAAATCTAATTTAATTCACAGAATAAATTGATTATTTCTATAATAACTTGTTATATTTTTATTAGTTCTATAAAATAGACTTTAGTTAACATACCTTTATGAAGCGAGCGCCTGGTTCTTGATATTTTTTATAACATAATTTACATTATTTTTTGGTTCCGGATTGCTTCGGTTGTAAGGAATTTTCTTTTATTAGTTCTTCGAGCGAGAGGATCAATAATACCATTATTTTCAAAATGATCACAACAACCACTCCAAACAAGAACATATTGAATTTTATTAATTAAATTTTTTAAAAGTAGAGAATATCTATGAAAAGTTAAAAGTAAACCGAAACTGTATATTTTATTTTATTTTTACGCGGCTATTAAATAACTTTTTTTTAGATGAAATCAATTGAATAAAATTTTTCACCAATTACAAATTAATAGAAACTTTCACAAAAATATTAAAAAGTTTTAAAACAATTGTTGTATTTCAAAACACTGATTACTTAAGACAAAGAAAATGATAAATTAATTGTAACTTTACTTTGACGGGAATTTACTAGGGACGTGTTATCGGTACGAAGGCAAGAGGAAGAGTGACGGAAAGTAGATTACGCGCTCGGCTAAATAAGACGTCCCGAAGTAAAAAGTTATAAAAATACCTTTATATAGTACACGCATGCGCACTCCTTTAAGCCCGGGACCTGTTGATTGTCGTAATGTACCCCCACCCAGGGCCCAGGGGGCGTATCATGCACATCGCGGAACTATTCTACCGATCTTACTATTGGAATATTCTAATGAAATAGATATATATGTAGGTACTACCTTATTACTATTTATTTACTTACTAGTCTTTACTTGCAACTTCGTCTGCTTATGTACATTATATTCAATAACTAACATAAAAAGTAACTTATATCCTGCTCTATCTACCTCAAGTACCTCTATGACAAATTTCGTATGTACCAAGAGAGGTAACAAACATAAAACAAAACAAAATAATAAAAAGAAAAGCTGATGACATGGTACCGTCATTTTACTGTCATTTTCAAGTCATCTTACTAGTTTTTTTTATTCCTACATTCTTAATATAAGTTATAAAATTGGAAGATGTCCCTACATAAAAGATATTTCATAAAAATTAATATAAAGGGCTTTATTAAGAACAATAGACCCCAAAACAATATTTTTTAGAAAAATTCTGTTCGTTTATATAAATAAATATGTATAAATATGTACGTTTCTTGCGGCATCACACAAAAACTACACTATACCAAACTAAATAAAGTTTTCACAGTTATCTGCCTTAGGATCTAACTTAAAATCTGGTGTATGTTTTATCTTGATGCACTATTTAGAAATGGCCTAGTTTATTTGTTTTCCTATTTCTGAAATCTACGCATATGAAATAGCGGGCAAAAAGCTAGTTTTTATGTCATTCGAATTTCGCAATAGCCAAATAAATTTTAAGATCGTCATTTTTATAAGGCGCAATGCAATTATAATAGATTAAAACTAAACCACTTTAACTATTGGATCCAAAAAAAAACTTTGTATTGCACACTCAATATTTCTTAAGGAGATAAAAACATGTTAGAACAAACAATATCATTAAAATTCGCAGCAGAGCAGTTTCTGAGAATAGCGTGAATGAACATCGCGACACGGGATTTTTATACATTAGGATAACACTCTTCAATATATAATATAAAATAATATATAATAATTTAAAAAATACATAAAAAAATATATACATAATATAATTACGTATAAAGTCATTTTGATATATAATATGATTTAAAATATACACTAGATAAATATATTTTGTCATTTACAATAAAGAAAAAAATTATCTTTCAATGATTGGTGTCGCACGGAAATTCGTATGACACCAGTGTCTTTAAACTTCTAATTTCGCAATAAGTCTTCCACACTTTACATCAAAGGAAAAACTTCATAAAATCACTATTTCTGTTTGTATTGTATTAAATTTTTATAACAATAAACTTAATAAGGCAATTGTTTAAAAACTTAAAATTCTAATTTCGCAATAAATCTTCTACACTTTACATCAAAGGAAAAACTTAATAAAATCACTATTTCTGTACGTATTGTATTAAATTTGTCGTAACAATAAACTTTAAATATAAGGCAATTGTTTAAGAATTGACCTTTCTGAAAACCGCAAAGAAAAATATTACTTCAATAACGATACATTTTTATGTTCTTAATTTATCAATTTAATATTCATAAATAAAAGTTACTTACCGAACTATTTATTTGCACGCCGATTTTCGACACTGTTGCAACAGTCAGAGTCACGATGCAACTGATGAAATGCATGTATGATTTAAATGGATAAATCGGCGCGCGCAAATAAACAAAAAGTCGTTGTATAAAGAAAATTAAGTGTTTAATCTAAATTTTTTAAAACTAATTAACATCTAGCAACTTTGCAGGTTTCTTTTCAGGGCTGCGTACTTCGGAAGAAAAAACGGATCGCTTGCAGGAGTACTTTGTTCCCCGTCTGTCTGTCCGACAAGCGAAACCCCGTTTTCTCTGGAATGAGTGGAGGTAATAAACTTGAATTAATATCAAATACTTAAAATTACAATTCTCTGAACTGTGAAAAAATCGAATTTCTAAGTCAAAGCAATCAAAAAATCTGGGCATTTTTATTTTGAAGTTTTCAAAGAAATCAAAACTCTATAGGTACCCGATAGCCTACGTTGTAAAATTTAGGAAGAAGCAAGATTGCACAAATGAAGTGAAAAATCCGAAATCCGTCAATTTGTAGTTACGCTATAAAAAATTGAACCTTATTCTTTTACAATTATAATTTGTATAGAATTGTTTTAAAACAATTAACAACAACAAAATAAAACAAAAAAATATACCCACTATAATATTATATTAGTAAGGATTTATTATTAGAAAATAAATTTGTGGTAACAAATAATTTCGTTTCAGATATTGTGACTTACCTACATGCTCACTTAAACTATAAAGTTTTGGCTAACTTTACTAACTTCATCAAGAGCAATTATAATTTCATCTGTACAGTCTCTGATAAATTTATCATATAATTATGAAGGATTAAAAAATAAATTAAATCAAATTCTTATTAAATATCGACCAATTAACCTGATTTTAAGATTATAATTTATGCCGATCCTTCTAAGTAGGTCAATTGATTCTTCCGGTTGCGGATTTCCTCATTTGAAATTCTAATTGGGTATCAATTTTAGAACATTTCTCTGTTTGTTTTCCTTAAAGTGTACATAATAACCATCACGTCTCGTTAATACTTGAAAATCGCGTTTAATCCTACTAATAGGGGTATTATCAATTTGAAAGGTGTTTGAATGTTTGTTATTCAATCACGGTTAAACAGCTCAACGGATTTGATTAAAATTTCGGGCAAGGGTAGGTTATATCGAAACTATATATAGAATAGCTATTTTATTTATTGATTTACGAACACATAACCACAGGAAATAGCTAGTATATACAATAGTATATTGAATATATAGCTCAATATATTTCCAATTAATAATGTAATAGGTATGTGAAAGAAAATATATCATTGTATTATTTAAATGGTGTGTTTTTTGTAGTTTAACTTCCATTGATTAGTATATAAAATATCATCATCATCATCATCAATATCTCAGCTATCATCTATCCACTGTTGAACAAAGGCCTCTCCCACAGACTGTCATATAGAATACGTTGTAAGTTAATCTAGAATATATATAGAATATATCTACTAGTATTAAATTACATTCCAATCCGTTCAGCAGTTTTTGCGTAGAGACAATCAATAGTATTATTATTGATATAATAATTATTGAAACTTTGGGCAATAAATAATATTCGATTTAATACCTACGACAAATGACGAATTAAAGGTATAAATATTTTTGACGATCCCAGACTGTCAAGGTTTTTAATTTGAGGTGAGACTTCGCTTTCTCTATCTCTCCTGCCCTACAGCTTGTATAATAGATTGTATTCTAAGGAACTATTTGACATAATGCCCACAGCCACTTTTTATTATTGCACCGCTTGTCGTCGGCGCAAAATTCATCCCATCTTAGAAACGAAATAGTCGAGGAAAGTGTGGTTTCAAAAAAGTTTTCCCCCGTTAACTTTCAGGTTGTGGAATTAACTTTTTGCCGTGGTCCCGAGAGGGTTGAAAGTTCTTCGAAAAGGGCGTAATAAGGTTTCTTAAGGGTTGACAATGCACGCACAATACCCTAAAATTGTAGGCTACGGCGACCGTTTATAATCAGATGGATCTAATATTTGTTTGCTGCTATATTTTTTTTATACCTTTGAGGTGGCAAACAAGCATACTGTCCACCTGATGGTAAGTGGTTACCGTAGCCTATGAACACCTGCAATACCAGAAGTATTACGCGTGTTTTGTCGACCCTGAAGAAACCTCTTTACCTCTTTTTTTTCTTTAGTTGTATAAATATCATTTATCATAATAAAAATATCATTTAAGTTTGTCTAAATAACAAAATTCTCTGTCTGCGCCTGTTTGTTGTACTGCTTATATTTGTAAATCAACAGGTTTCACAGTAATTTCCGTGTTAATTTTATACAGAAGCTTTGTACAATATATAAATTAGATATTATCTAGACTAATAACATTAATATAGTCTCATGAATAGCTAATTATAGAAAAATTTTAATGTTTGTTTGTTCACTGAATACACTGTGGTATCAAATGTGTATATAGAACTCTATGTGAATAAATAAGTAAATATTAGTTTATCATACATAATCGTACAAATTTTAAATTTTAGAAATTATCAAGTTGCCAAAAATTGTTTTTCTTAGGTTACACTAATATCAAAGACATATACATGTATCGTGCGAAGCCATAGTAATTCGGGGGTTCGATAGTAAATAATAAAAAAATAAATATTGGCGTTACTAGAGACTGTTAGCACTTAATGGAGTTCGCAATTCGTCTTTATAAGTGAAAACACTTGTATTACTTCTACAGGAAAAACGATGTTAGTTTTTTGCTGACTTACCTATACATTTTATTTAAGTAACAAACAAATATATGTTACATTTCATATATTCATAATATCATATATGTTGAGAGGAAAGTTTTGTACGATATTCTTCTGCACCTTTTACCCATCAATGCAAAAGGTTATTTATATTTATTTTTGTATAATAAAAAATATAAATAACAATCAAAACAAATACAAAATGATAACGTTTCAATAAGGAAAAACGAGTACAACACATTTAATATTGAATAGGCAAATAAATTGCCTACTCGGTTGCAAATGACAAGGGAATATGGGAAGAAATAAGGAAATTGGGTAACATAGGTGTATATGACAACTGTGATATGTTTTCTATTGCGAAATATATAGTAGTTTAGTAGATCAACGCTTGTAAATGATACAAACAAAAATGTGTTACTGGCGTAGATGAAGGATCGTGGAATTACTAGCACATTTTGTTTTTATCTTCGGTATAAAGAAAAGGTTTTGAAGGCGGGAACCTGTTCTTGAACATGCATATGTACTCTCAGGTATGTTCTTACTGTTAATTGAAAGCTTCGCTTTGATCCTAGAATGGGTAACAGACGATTGACGTGATGGTCGACCTGATAGGATATATTACTATTAACAATCGCACCTGGAGTACCCATAACGAATAAACCTTGAATAAACCCAATCATGGGCATTATAAACGTAACACATTTGACATATACCAATGTCAGGTAAGCTAATTCGACTTGGTTTTCTTTCGTGTGTTTATTATACTTAATTAATAACTGGATGATAATTTTATTGGTTTATACTTTTATGAAGATCGACAATAAAAATTATATATTTTTTTATTTTTTATACAACTTAGAATGGCAAACAAGCTGACGGCCCACCTGATGGAAAGTGGTAACCGTCGCCTACAGAATACAATAAAAAATAAGGATTTGATGAAGAAAAACTATATCGCAACTGTTTCGAAAGACATAAATCGATCTTTTTGACATTGACATCATTTGTATAAAACGTGACAGTGAATAAATCTCCCGTCACCACTCGGATTAACTTGGTTTATCAAGAGCTTTTATAACTTTACCAAACTTTAGCTTGTCGAAATTTGTCAATGTTGCAATTATCTGTCAATTTTTAGAAATAATATAAATTTTTTCAGTGCTCCTGACTAATAATTTAAAAAGTTCTCTGCTAGTAAAAGTAAAACCTTAATCATGCAATAATATTCTTATAAACTTGTCTCTAAAAATTTGCATTTTATGATAAGAATATATTTAACGAATTCTAAAGTAAAATATGAAGTAAGTGCATAGTTTTTAATTGTAGATTTATATGCAACAGCTTCTATGATCAACGTTTTGAACTTTTAGAGTTCTTTAAATAATTATTTTTAATGTTCCCAACATTAAAAACATTTGTCTTTAAAAATTAATGAGGTGATTATTAAAATAACTGCGATGTTGCCACACTTCGGAAGCTAAAGTTATGGACGCTCTTCAAAATGTTTCCATTATAAGATAGTTAGGAAATTAAACACAAAATTTTGGGGCTAATCAGAATTAAACTTCTTTATTCAAATGTTTTTTTAGCAATTTTCAAAGCAGATTATTAATTCACCAGTATTTATAACCTTTTCTGTAACTAATTATAATAAATCTTTTTCTAATAATTTACAGTTTACACTCGTGTCAATTGTTAAGGATTGCGGATTACCTATACAATATTATGGTATCGTATGGTACCATAACCGTTAATTGTCCACTGCTGAACCTCTACCTAGGGTTCCCTCTATTGAGGGGTTTTGTCAGTAGTCGCCACGCTTGGTAGGCGGGTTAATAAACTAGTTAGGTGTTGAAGATGCTTTAACAGGGACACTGCTACCCATCCTTTAACTATTAAGTTCCTTTAGTTACTTTTTACGACACACGGGAAAAGAAGTAATGCCCTATTCTATGCCGGGACCACACGGATTACTTATAACAGTTACCGTATTCCAAAAAGTGGGCCGTTAGTATATTTGTCATTTTAAAAGTCGGCAATACGCGTTTAAGCAATCTTATAGCCAGATGTCTTTATTATTCAAGGCCTATTTTCGATTATCAGTTAATTGTTTACCATAAAGAAAAATCAAAATATCAACATATAATTCGGTAGATAGTTTAAAACAATTTTATTGATTACATTGATTAATCGATATTTTAATAATTAATTAATTTTTATGTATGTTTAAATTACACTATTATATAAAAGATAACTAAATTATAAGAGAGTTAAATCGATCTATTAATAATAATCAATACTTGTCGAGTGTCAGGCAACACTATTCTACTAGTGATGTATTATTTTTTAAAGTTGCCAACATTTAAAATTCAATTGATAACATATGGATTTTCAAACTTTTTAACTGTTATATATTTAATTTTGATTCAGTCGAATTGAGAACTTCTTTTTATTAATATATGTAAGGATATAGTTTATTAATTAATAGTGTTTACTTCAATTTGTTAAATATTTTGGACAGAATTACTCTCAAATCTAATAATGTATCTATCCAATTTCTTGGTTAACAATTTAGTATCTACTGAATTCATGAAACAATAATTAGATGTTAAATTAGAACTGAAATCAGTTTGCAATAGTATGCATTGATATTAGCATTGCAATTCGAAAGTGCGAAACGTCTCCTATTCGTTATTCATCGATTTTAATTTATTTTAACAGACTAAAATTGAATTAGAGTTAATAAGTACTTTACACTATATTTGATATATTTTATTGTATGATATACATACACATACATGATAATGATAAACCACTGTTATGTTAACCCTACATAATTTTCGTTTAGTTAATCTTATAAAGTGATATTAAAATTAACCTATATTATATTATTGTGTCATAAGTGCAACTATTTTTTTTTTACCATCATAATGTAAGTCTACCATTTTGAGACTTATTTTAGTTGATTGCCAAGTATTTATGATGGCAATACAACACGTCCATTCATACGTCATAACACAATCGTTCATAATACGATCGTACTAGTACGAAAATTTTTTCTTAGAATATTTTTATTTAATTTTTCTGTTTTACTTCTTATCGCTTGCATTGTCGATAAGACTTCATTTTTTTATTGAGTGTATTAACTGTTTTATGTCGACGTCAGGTTATTTAATTGGGACATTCATCTGTAGTTTCTTGGTGACTCAACTTTTTTGTTTGTGTGGTATACTTAGTGAATAGAATGACAATGTTAACAATGTTGTGTAAATAGTCATATCAGGTCAGTTCAGTGAATATTGGGCGATGGATACACCACCGGTTCCCAAGCCTCGGAGTGTTGTACCGGCGCAAAATGACCAGATAAAGCAACCCGTGCCTCTCCCGCGGACCAAGGTGTCGAACAACAATGAGAAACCTAAATCCACTAGTTTAATGAGATCTCTAAGCACCGTGTCGAAAATTACTGGAGATGTGGCGAATAAGGTAGCCAGTACGACAAAAAGTGCCAGAGAGGATAGCTCGAAGTTCGCTAAAGAAACACTTGAGAAAACTCTTTCCACGTCTAGAGCAATGATAGACAGCACCAAATCCAGTTTGAAATTGCGCAGGCTGAAGAAATTTGACACTGGTGATAATGCTGACAAGCATGTTTCTATGCCATGCATGGACACAAGTATGTTTGAAAATATACACTTCCAGTCGCCCATGCTGGAGCAAAAACAACATAGAACCGAGAATTTGAATGAGCTACCGTCGCTGCAATTGAACACAACATTCTATGATGACCTATCAGTATTTTCTAGCAATTCAGATTCTAATACAGAATCAGTGAGTGACTTCTCCCGTGATAGTGCAGAGTTTGAGCACAGTCACAATTTGCATCTAGAAGGTGATCAAACAACATATGATACCCCGAGACAATCAAGAACCAACAGTATGATCAGTGACAGAATAGTTCCCGAGCCACCTGAACGGAGGAAGAAGCGTGCTAGTGAAGTAAGCATGATGCGGAATAATTCCTTGTATGAAAATTGGACACTACCAACTTTAAATACAAGCACTGTGGAATCTGTGAATAAAAACTTGACTGTGGAAACAACTAACAACAATAAAGTGGATGATAGGCCCAGTAAGAGTATGATACTGTTGTTCGATCCGCTAAATACAACATCGTCTACTAAGAAATATGACGGAGTTAGCAACGAGCTGCTGCTTTTAGAATCATTCTTAATTGGAGATACATATGGTTCTATAATTAGCACCGATACTCATGATGATGTAATGGAATTTCCAGAAAGTGATTATTTTAATCCACCGACACCCCCTGAGAGATCAGACAGCCTTCTTACTGCACCAGAGACAACAGATGTTAATGAGAATAACAATGAAGTACCACCCGATACAGATTCAGTTCAGGATAACCCAAAACCTATTGTTAGTGATGTTAAGAAGCCACAATCAGTTATGCATAAGTTTTCACAAATATTGAAACTGGACAATGTTTTAAATAAGCCCACCAAACAAGAAAATTTGAATGTGCAAATTATAGAAAGGCCTCCCATAAATATGTTTGAGGCACCATACTTTTGTGGTATAATTACTCGTATTACGTCCACTGTTACCGAAGACCTGTTTAAGAACTCTCAATCCAGATATTGTGTTCTCTCCAACAAGAAACTCATGTGTTATACGGATCCAACTAATTCCATTTTGAAAGAAGCCTACACTTTGGACTATGTGTATTCTATTCAATTGGTGCTGCCTATATCTTCTAGGTAAGTGTTATTTCATTATTTTATGTATTAAATTTAGATGTCATGAAAGAGAGATTAAAGGTGATCTTGATAGGTGATATGACATTGTATGTCTGTTTGGTATTTATACTATTTTTAATTGTGTGAAAGTTTGATTTATTAAATGTATACTAAATTTATATTATTTATGCTCTTTTAAATATAAAGATTATGATTTCATGTTCATACATAAATTACTACCTTATATAGAACTAGCAAAGTCAATTCATTATATATTGTTTAAACAAAAGAAATTATATGTATCTCTATATTTGTAAAACCAAAAACATTGTGGTTCATATGGTATAGCCTTCATCTATAGATATGAACAGAACCATAGATATATCCCAGTATACTTCGTCATACATAAATCTATCTTTATAAATTTTGTAACTAATTCATATTTTGCTTTTGAAGTTACCACACCCTTTTTGTATTGTCAACTTTCAACTGATATAAAAAAGAAGTAATTTCCTATTAAATAATTGACTTAAGAAAGGACTTAATAAACTTTTTATGTTTCTTTCCTCAGCACTCTATCATTTATATGTTACTGTGGATTTTTTTTTATTTGAAAGGATACCCTTTCAGATTGGTCCCATAGAATTTTCAAAATCAGTTTAGTAATTTAGTTTTTAAAATAAAAATAACTAGTTTTGTCACAATCAAATCAGTTAGTTTTTGAGAAAATTTAAAAATTTATAGTTTTGGCTTTTATTGTCTTACTAAGTCCCTTAATTTCTTTTTTTCTTAAATATCCACTATGTAAATCCTCTAGTTACAATTTTATTATATGTACCTCTATATATACGATTTGTCATTTACTTTGCTTATAACAGTGTATTAAATCTTTAAATAAAAAAAATAATTCCAAATCAGTTTAGAACTGATAGAGTTGTGAAGTAACAAACAAAAAAATACAGCAGAATTATAAATCTCCTTCATTTTGAAAGTTCATTGAAAATAGATTTGCACTACGTGTATGGTAGGATTATTTCACCCATTAACTGTCCACTGCTGAACATAAACCTTCTCCATAAGGGGAGTTATGCCAGTAGTTGCCAAGCTTGACAGGCAGATTGGCTACCGCAGTTAGGCTTTTAAAGGTGTTTTAAGAGGGACGCTGTAGCCTATTCTTCGACAATAAGTTCCCTTTGTCGCCTCTTTCTACACCCACAGTATGGTAGGATATTGAGGAGATATTAAACTTTATATGTACCTGTAAAACCCATATTCAATCAAACAAATATATTATCATTTTTTATACAAATTTTTCTATATATGATGTGAATGATAAAATAGCTGAAGTGTGATCTGTCATTATTAAACAGTTTATAGTATTGATTGATGAGACGCGTTAAAAAGGCAAACTAATGAATTGATTGATGTGGACACAGTGAAGGATGATTCTTTTCCATTCTGTTATTTGTATTTAAAAAAATATAACAGTTAATCACTTAAATTTAAATGAAAACTAATCCTGATGTTATATTGATAGTACTAAACCTATTTAAAAACCATGTAATGCTGTTTTCGTAAGTTATCTTATTTCCTTATATTTTTAACGTTTTTATTTTTCTTTATTAAAGAAAAACTAACAGCAGTAACCAAAAGCAGATTTCATAATACAAAAGACAGTAAAGATAGAATTACAAGTTTCATAAATAAAAACAAGATTTAACTAAACATATATAATATCGCTAATATTTACAATTAACTAAAACTTAAATTAACAGCATTATAGTAGTATAATCATTATAGGTAGGCAGTTATGCAAAATAAAAAGTTGTAATCACACGTTCAAAGATGAATTATCAAAGAACCACTGACTCAGCACACGTCTCGCGTTTTCTATCTTAGAATTAAACAAATCTAAACCGTAATCTCTAGATATTTAATTAAAGTTATCGTTAGCACGCCAGAGATAGGAATTTTTTCTATAGTGGAAACAAATGGAAGAAATTAGGTGGCCTTTATTAGTTTGGTTGGCACACACAGAGAGTTGATACAGGAGACCGGGACAATCAATTGAACCATTGCCGATCTTCATTAAAAAATAACAAACCTGAAATTTGAAGATCTTCGTAGCGCAGTGAGGTCCTGGGTTCGAATTCTGGTTGGGTTAATTTAGGAAACTGTCTTTTGTATTCCGGGTTGTGCTCTCAGGTGTTGGTTGGCTGGTGCCTAATAACACAGGGTATCCTTAAGCTTCAATTAGAAAACCAGGTGATTTGTGTGTTTATATAACACATGTATACAAACTTTAGTCCGCGACTTCGTCTGCATGATCGGGACATGTTCACTAACAAGCATAAAAAGTAACCTAAATCCTTCTCTATACTTACTAATATTGTAAACTTTCGTATTTATAATATTAGTAACAACTTATTATTCGTATTATATTGGAACTTGGAAACAAAAGACATCCGGAGTATATATTATAAAACTTTATTGATTTTTTTATGCAATTTAAAATACAAACAAGCTGACGGCTCATTTAATGGAAAGTGGTAACCGTTCCCTATAGACATGACCAATATCACAATAATGACACAGTACACTGTGACACCCATCATACTCTTCATGCGTTGCTGCTTTTGAGATTAAGGAATTGTTATACCTGTGTATCCAGTCATAAAATTATAACGCGCAAATAAGAATGATGTATCATATTACGTACACAGCCAAAGGTCTTCTTGTATAATATTATAATTGAAAATGCAATCAGATCAGTTTTGGAAATGAATATAAGGGAAAACCTAATGGCGATTCCGGCTATTTTCCATTATTTCCCAATGTTTATCAAACTGACCTGTAGTTGTCTCTTCTGATATATATATATATATATATATATATATATATACGAGGTCTGTCCGGAAAGTTCGTATAAAAGTGTTCTGGAATGCGAGAAAGAGGAGTGGGGAGGCCAGGTAAGCGCAGGACCCCTTCCTTATGTCCCTAACAATGCTTCAGTTCTGGTCTGACCGCCGTGCGGTGCGAACTGGCTTGTCACGCCATCTGTGAAGTTACCTCTTAACGAAACCCCGTCGGCATGGAGCCCGCTTCCGTTGAAGAGCAGCGCGTCGTAATCAAGTTTCTCTCGAAACTCGGCAAGAATGGCCGTGAAATTTTTGCCGATCTAATTCGATAAGACATCCGGGGAACCACGAACAAAAAAATCAAGAAAATCCCGCTCAAATGTCAAGACAATGTTGATTGTTTTTTTCGATGTTCGGGGGATTGTCCATCAAGAATTCGTCCCTCCAGGCCAGACAGTTGATGGAAAATTCTACGTCGATGTGCTCAGACGCCTCAAAGCTCGTGTGGCACGAGTTCGTCCAGAATTGGCGCGAGAGGGGCGTTGGATTCTTCACCACAACAATGCCCCTGCCCACACCTCTCTTGTTGTCCGTGAGTTTTTGAGTAAAAATTCCATTACGGTGACCGAACACCCCCCTATTCGCCGGATTTGGCCCCGTGTGACTTCTTCTTGTTCCCAAAAACCAAATTGGTACTTCGGGGGCGGCATTTGGGGGACATAAATGAGATAAAAAAAGCTACGACGGGGCAGCTGAGAAACCTACAACCAGAGGACTTTCAAGGAGCCTTCTCACAGTGGAAACGGCGTTGGCACAAGTGCATTATGTCACAGGGGGAGTATTTTGAAGGGGATAAAATTGATTTACCTGAATAATTGTAAAATAAAATTTTTAAAAAACTTTTATACGTACTTTCCGGACAAACCTCGTATATATATATGTCATTTTGAGCACTTGTTTTATTAAATAATATTATATTGGAGGTAGTAACCTCTTTATATGTTCTTTGACGGAATTCACAAGAGCTGGAATGTTTAATATTTGTTATTGTAAAATCTAACTAATGTTGTTTGTCGAATTACGATCCTGCAACTACATGGAAACAAAGAAATGAAATAAATAAATATAGATTTACAAAATACCTATTCATCAAAAGTCTTAACTGCGTTACCTCTTAACATCAGGATGACTTCTGGGGAGTACTAGATAAGATTAATAATATCCTCATTTAATCGTCACTGTTTATAATAGATAAATATGCGGCCATGGTTAGATTTGCTTTATACGAGTATATATTATTATCAATAAATACATATAACTTTTACATAATTTTTGTCCGCATAGTGATTCAACGCTAAAATGTTGCCCTATCGATAGGAGCTGGCAGGAAGGAAGTTTGAAAGAACGAAACAACATTGTAATTAACTTTAAGTTTATTTTAGTACTTTTATCTGTATCAACACCACTATTTTGGCTGCCCATGGGTACCATCTACATTATAGTATATTCTGTTGTGAAGTTCATGTCTATAGGCGACGGTTAATAATTTTTTTTTCATACTATATAGATTCAAAAAAATTATTAACTACGGTTAGAAATACTAAAGTAGAATTTAAAATTTGAGAATATTTCATTGGCTTTTCTACTTCCAAGTCACAATCACAATTTATGTACTGGATAAAATGCCACGTGTTTAATAAGATATTGAACGATGCTTTGAGAATTCTTAGTAATTGCGACCTAATCTAGGCCAGCACGCCCAGATGAGATCAGTTAAGTTGATCGCATAGCAAAACAAACATCTATTCAGATGGCATTGACCTGGTGGGGTTTAAATACCGGTATCGCCGCAGACATTGTGTTGAGCGAGTTAATACTTACAGAATTACGATCGGTGTGTTTCTATAATTATTTGTGTCCCAATAATGTTTATACAGTATGTTTCAATAGAGTTTAATGAAAATGGAAACAAATGAATAATCGACCCGACTTTAAGATAGTTTAATTATGTCTAATAGTATACTTTTAGAGGGAAAGGGATTGTTAGTAATGGAGACTGAGAATCACATTGCTAGCAATATATCCAACCAGGTCGACCTCCTCGCGGTTCTCCCTGGAAACTATCATGGTTAATTCCTGATGAATTCATCATGATGGGCTAACTGGCCTGTTTTCATTCTCATCTATCACCCTTCACTGGTGCTCCGCCAGCGTATTCCGTTAGCGCAGGCGGGGTTATCACACCATTTTCACCCATTAAAAAAAAATTGTATACCTTTCGTTGTACTATTGAAGGGTCCCGCGATTGATCACTTTCTCACTTGATGGAAAGTGATGATGTTGGTTTAAGGTGGGGCTCGCGGGTTCACGAACATACAACTAAAAATAGACTAATTGAATGAATATTTAGACTTGCTACTAATTTCGTTTTTAGAATGTTTGTGTGATAATTTCAACAAACAAGTTTATTGAACAAATTTTAGTTCTATAAATATAAACTATACCATTGGTTCAACTACGTAGTTAAAAATAAAAAAAAAATAGTGAAAATTAAAAGAAATAGTACTTAATTACTATATTATAATAATTGGATTGATCCCATAGGATTGAACTGGGAGCGCGGAATGCCCTAAGCCAAATGGAGTAAACGAACGGCCGACCTTCATCCATCCATCCATTTCAATCTTTTCTTTTATTTTTGGTGAAGGTAAAAGTTTGAAATTAATTCAACCTGGCCTTGAGAGTAAAGTTAGTCGAAACTCATGAAAAACTCAATGTTACAGCTCTTATTTATGTTACACGATTGTCAAATAAACTTAGCAATACATATGTTCACAATTAACGTTTATAGATATTGACAATTATAGTTTTTTTTTTTCAAAATTAAATTAAAAAAATTTATATCAATAAAAAAAATTACGATAGAGGCAAAATAATTAGAAAGTGTACTATGGCTACATGAAGTCTCACATACTTTTACAAGGTTTTATTGTTGAAACAGGCTTCGCTAAATATGAGTATTTTCGGATATCAATGTTTTCTATGACATCACTATTAACAAATTAGTATGTATTTGGAACAAACAAAGGAGGATTTTCCTACTTGTGTGTAAATCTTAATCGAAATATTTTCGCTAATACTGTACAGATTTTAATTATTGTTTTTGCAGTTGAGCCCGTTTACCATGTGGGTATTGTAGAATTTATTACATTCAACAAACTGGATACATATATATATATATATATATATATATATATATATATATATATATATATATATATATATGTATATGTATATGAAAGTAACAGCAGTGATAGAAAAGTTAAGGAGTAACTATCTGTCCTGGTATGGATAGGTAGTGCACAAGCGGGAGGAACATATTTTAAGAAAGGTATTAAAGTATGAATGTTGTGGGCGAAAGGACTAAAAGCTGGTATGGAGGTGTGGTATTTCTAGAAAGGTGATATAATTATAAAAATATATTGTATATACAAATCTAAAAAGAGAAAAAAAGGAGAGAACAAACAAAATTTATCAATTACTTCATAAAATTTAAAAAGAAACTCAAAAGGTGAGTCGTGCACAAATGTGGATGGCTATAGAGACTGTGTAAAACCTAAAAATCATGATTGGGAATAAAGAAGAATGGAAGAGGAAAACATGGTATGCTGACCTCAAATAAATCATTGGGATAGGGTTAGGAAGATGATATTAGTGATATATTGCTAGAAAAATTGCTAACAATTTTGGTGTATGTTACATATTACCTCATGTCAGTGAGGTCGTTTAACATGTGATCTGTTCTGGTAACCATCATAGTTAGTACTTGGGGAATTCGTCACGATGGACGAATTGATCCGACTTCATCCTCCTCAATTACAATATCATTTACCTCACTAGCGTAAGCGAGCTACCATTCCATTTTCAACCCATTAAAACACATCAAACTATTAATCGGTTAATCAACTTAAAAACTGACATTGTTTGGTTTACTTTAGCATAGTAGGATCTGGGACATAACGGTTAACAATGGGAACAGAGGTATAGAATACTCGAATAGGTCAAAAAACATGTGAAGTAAACCAAACTGTTTTGGTAATGATATGGTCATTACACTTCCACGCGCATGATTCACTGCGTGTCTCATTTTGTTGGAAGACGATGACGGATTGCACTGACGTTCGCAAATAGGCGATTTTATTATTGTACGATTTTATTAACACAATATAGTAGGGCTTAAATGCATGCGTTGCAGGGGAAATAGGGATTCCACTTAATAACTAGGGATATAATGGAAGATAGTCTAAATAAATATTTTGATCTATTAGAAATCTAGTGATATTGTAAAATACTACAATAGTGTTTAGTGATATTATAGTAGATACTGATATTGTTAGGTATCTGTTGACGTCATATTTCCATATTCGCGCATACCTGCTGTATCGTATGTTATATATTATAAAATAACTAACTATCAGTGACCAATGCACATTTGACCTTGTGAACTTTAGATAACCATTGAACCATTACTCATAACTTGCCAATGCAACAATCACAATTTATTATAATAGATATTTTTAAGATATCTCATACCGAAGTATAGAGAATAGTCTGAATCGTCTGTCCATTTTAAATGTACATACTTTACTTTCTCTTATTTCTGAATGATTATAAAAATACTCTGATTGCAAGATTTTTATATGCGATACTAACTAATCTAGCAAAGATTATTTGACTTCCTACCGCCGTCTACTGCGTCCATGTTTTCTTATAGGCATAAAAGCAAATAATACATATTTGTAAAATTTTATTAAAACCCAATTGAGCTATTTCGGAGATTAGCGTGAACGAATATCGTGACACGAGATTTTTATGTATTACGAATAATAGTACAGCTGAAATTTGTCCTTTATTTAATTTTTATGTACCAGAAGGCTTTTCAATTTGATTCTATTTTTATCTGTTTGCTACCTAATAAACTTATTTATAAACTGAATTAGAAAATTCTTATTTAATCTAATAGAATATAGTTTCAAATTGGATCCATAGAAAAATAAACAAAGATCGGTTCAGTAATTTAATTTTAAATCCAAATAATTGTTTTTGTTATGGTTGAAGTTGTTTAATGTGATTTTTTCTATGAAACAGTATGACAAGAAAGATGACGGCCCATTTGATGGAAAGTGACATACGTCGTCTATATTCGTTACAGAGTACACTGTGATGCATATGGTTATCATTATAAATTAAATTAACCCTTGTGCCATTACATTACTATTCTTGAGGATTATGGTGTTATGCCTCCGTGCCCTGTAATTTTACAGTTATATCTCACTTTGTATGCTTACACTGTTGTACTGTATATTGAAATATAGCACAGTACAAATACTGTACAGCATCAGGGCAGACATGGGTGGGACAGAGGTACCTTAACGTAAACGAATTTTGTACAGAATTTCTCTCTGATAAAAAAAATAATTTATAATAAATAAGAATTTTGGAGAGTGTACGTAGAAACTGCATAACCTTATTCCTCCAGCACCCTTCTATCATCGAACAACCAGTGTTGATTGTTGTGGTGTTCCACGTATTCGTGGCAAGCATACACGAACTATCAAGGAATATAATTCTATCCTGTCGTCTGTATTTACACATCACTTTAACATGGGGTCTTTTAAAACTAGAGTGGATAGGCGTTATTTGAATTTGCGTGTAACGCATTAGACTTGATCGTCACGTAAGATGTTTTGTTAGGAATGATGTTGCTTTTGATGCAGGGCAAAATATACTTGATATCTTAATCATCATTCCTTTACCCGTCATTATTGCCATTTCCTATTTACTCGGCGCAATAAGTTTCCCTCTTTCAGTAATCCCTATCAAGCATCTTATCTGGGGTTACAAGCATATCATCCTTAACAATTCTCTTTCATATTTAACACCTTCTGTAAAGTATATCCTTTATTCTTTCGCATGATATGACCATATCAAGACCATCGTTATCTTAATACATATTCAACTGTGTCACACAATATTCGTTAATGTTAATCTCCGGACCCACACAACAGATTTTTATGAATCTCCGAATGTTTCCCTTACCAAAAATATGACAAGGCGGCGGATTTATCCCGTCCCACACAATCTAATTTAGTTGTAATCTGTTCTATTATAGCTGCTTGTTTGATAAACGAGTTTATCATTCATAAATAAATACTTTTTTGTCTAATTGTTTTTATTTATTACAATAATAGATAGTCAATTAGCATTTATTTCATTGTAAATACTAATAGACTGTACATCAGTTTTATCAAGAAGTTATAATATTTTTTGTATTTTTATTTTTTTATTTAAAAAATATTGTATATATATGTATATATAAATAAAATAGTCTGACAAGTGGATAAGAAACACGTATTATTTTCTCAAAAATGACTATCTTTGACTGGCAAAGATATACATATAGACTATAGACTCTCCCTCTTATTAAAATCTCTTTGTATTGCCAACAGCACAACGAACAATTCGTTTTGCTTCGAGATCATGGTATCCGGGAGCGGCGGCAAGCACTCCCCCCGCAAGGTGGTGTTCAGTTGCACTAACGCAGCATTACGTCGGAGTTGGACCCATAGTCTGGTGGCGCACCTTACCACCTTCCCCGTCAAGTACACCAGCGACTTCACAAGATGTGGCTGGTGTTACCTCAAGGTTAGTACTGATTCGATAGTCTCATTACGGTTGTTTCCTATAAATTTTCCCGCTTCTGATTTGGTGTTCATGTTAATCCTTTATTATGGCTCGTCTTTATATCAAATTTCATTCAAATCCGTTTAATCCTTAAAGCATATTTTATCTAAATATACAAATATATTTACAAACGTTCACATAAAATTAGTAGGATTAACAGGCTCTTACCAACAATATATACAGGTTGTTGTTGTGTCGATATTTCTACCCGTAATGCTATGAGCGTATGCATTTTGAAATACAGCGTAATGACGTCATTAAGCAAACCAACAAGTAAATAAATGTACTTCCTTATTCGTGATGTATAATAGTGACATAGCTATTAAATTTGAACGGGTAAGGTAAACTTAATGCTTTGACGTGGCTTATAAATTGAATTATTCAAATATTAATTAAATAATAAAATTATAAAAATATTTCTGATCTTGCTCACACTTCCGTGTTTTGTTTATAATGGTGTCTTGTTCTAATTATTATTTGCATGCCATAACTATTAGGACTGCAGGTACAATCCTAAATCTCGAAACGTCAAAGAGTTAGTAAGTTATATATATAAGTTGTTAGTAAAGAGTTATGTTTGCTCTTAAGTTATACCCGCTTTCATAAGTTAGCTCGTGAACAATGACTATTGTAATAGGAGAACGGAAAAAAATTTAATACACATCTGCTTCTTTTAAAAATTCTTTCACGTATAGAAAGCTACACTATCAACGAGTAATATAGGTTAGAATTTATAGATAGAGTGTCTTCATAGAAATGCTTCGAGAAAAACGGGTCACCTTTTTCATACAATTTTGCGTGATAAATAATTATGAGTGATCCCTTTATAACTTCTATATTTATTTTGTTTCATAATTTCTGCATCTTTTTAATGCGTAAACACTCATTTTATTTATTAAATAATACGTCAAGATACATTTTATGCGTAAGTATATAGCACATTAATAAAAATCGAGTTAGTTAATTTGACAATTAGCTGACAAAAAGTTAACCCGTTATTGAGGCTCTAGGCTCTATCTATATAATCTAAGAGGTGATATTTAAAAATTCTAGCCAAGCCGGACTGTAACTCTAGTAATTCTTAAAGACATGGACTTTATATTTAGACTTTTTATTTTTTATATGTAGCTTAGAACGGTAAACAAGCTAAAGGTTCACCTGGTGGAAAGTGGTAAATATCACCTAATCGCATGAACAGTATCGTGGATTACATTACAGATTACATTGGCACGCTCACAGTACTCACGCGTTGCCGTTTCTAAGGATTACGGTGTTATGCCTCCCTAATTTGAAATTTTAAACAGGGGCATACATAAAAAAATACAGGGTAATTATTAAGACCCTCTTTGGAAGTTGTTCAATATAAAGTCTTTATTTTACTATGAGTATACGAAGAGTACTATACTTACGCTGTCAGCTTATTCCTAGTACCACTTATTACAGATTGTTAATTTTAATGTCTTCGTAATATTTTTTTCTGGGTAATACATAATCTAATACCTATATTATATTATTTTGTTCTCTACTTGTTTGTTTTATTTATAGCATGAAAAAATTAAGTCGAGTCGAAATTGAATTCTCATACGAGCGGTCTATTAAGGGAGTGTTGTTCTGAGTATATACCATTAATAATGAACATTTTTCCCAAATAAATCACTTGAGAAGACACAAGGCTTTAAGCCTCCCTAATTAATATGGCTATTGAACGCACCGTATTGATGCAAAAAATTTTTTGTTGTTTCTCGACTTATACTTTTTTTAAGAAAAATATTCTGTTAGACTTACGTTTTATAAAAACCAATCAAGTTTTTAAGTGACTTTCAAAGGCAGGGGTCGGAATTCTTGATTCGTCTTTATTTGTTTTGCTATGTTAAGTCGTCGAATTGTAATTGATTTTGATATTTTTTTAGCAATCGAAATTGTTTATTTAGTACTGATCTCACAATTATTTTGTGACGATCCCCATCATTGTTTTCTGCACACCCTTATAGTATAAAAAAATTGTATTAAAAGTTGATATTGATTTTTATCTATTTTTATTTATTTATTTATTTCAATGTACAATTATATAAGTATGGCGGATTTATCAACTTATGGCGTTCACTGCCAGTCAACAATGAGGAAGGCAGAAAATTAAGTAGGCGGTGCATTTACTACTAAAATAAGTGCAAATATTGTTACTAATACTTATACGTCTATATGTATGTGTATGAATATATACGTGTATATATAACGTATGTGTGTATATATGTATGTGCTTATACGTATATATACTTACACAAATACATAAATGTAATATATAACTATAATTATGATAATGATAAATCAGAACAACGAATAAAAGAAAATAAGGCAAAAAATGTATTCTAAATATAAATATTTTGTATCTAATCTGTTTATGAAACATCTTGTCGTTTATCGGCGTGTTCTGTCACTATTGAAGCCGCTGTTTTTCTTTTATTTCTTAAGCTTTATAAATAAACTTTTATAAACTTAACAGGCTTAGGCCACTTGACTACAAACTGACCTATTTTATCCATGATTCTTCTATTAATTTCAGGGAAACTCAATATATAATGTGAAAATACGATTCCTGGTAACTTGTTCGGTTTTATCCTGATAATGATCACTCAAAGCAGTCGAGATACTTTTCAAACTAATTGATCTAGAATATTCGCATTTAGTACCCTTATTTGTAATACTAGTTTCTGGATTGCTGGATTTACCAGAACCTATAATTTACGTAAAAAAAATTGTATCATAATAATCATTATTTCAGCCATTAACTGTCCACTGTTAAACATGAGCCTTCTCCATAAGGGGAGTTTTGCTAGTAGTTGCTAAACTTGGCAGGCGGGTTGGCAACTGTAGTTAGGCTTTTAGAGATGTTTTAAGAGGGACGCTGCTGCCCATAATGGTAAAGCCAAGTTCCTTTAGTCGCCTCTTACGACACCCAAGAAAGAAAAGGGTGGCCTATTCTATGCCGGAACCATATGGCCAGTCATAACATTTTGTTAAAACTGTTAAATCTGGTTTAATTTTAAAATTATAAATGTAAAGTGAGTTTGTTTGTTTCCTTATAGCGGCTTGATGGCTTAATCAATCACAATGAAATCAGTATGCATGTACTATAAGGAATGGAGAACGATGTAGGCTTTTAACCCGATCAGTAAACATCTCCCGATCTCGCAGGCGAAATCGCCGGAAAAACTAATACTTCTTATGAAAACACTACCAATAATTTTAAGTATAAACATATTCATAAATAATAGAATATTTCGTTAAAAAACACGAGTTCGCTGCTTAATTTAATTTATTGATTTTATTTTGTCCCACATCTATTGTTCATGTATGGAGTATAGTAGAAATGATCTTTATTAAATAATAAACTTATTTAAATTCAGACGCAACACGAAATTTTAAAATCAACTAGAACAAACTTGTTTACGGGAAATCACAAGAAGCTCAGTAGCGACTCGTCTTAAATCAATTTATGTTAAAAAAATATATCAAAAGTTTTGGATAGATCACGGAAAATACGACTCGTATCGTTTTATTTTTCCAGCTCGATTTCAGCCACTATCTTAAGGATAAACTTATAAAATACAAATTTTTATATTTAGGTAATAAAAAATAAAAATTGTTTTAATCTTACATCGCGGTTGTTTACAATTTTTCATATTTGTTAAGGATACAAATATCAAATAAACAGAATATATGAAACTGAAATAGTGCGTTTGGAAAACCTTTTGAAGCGTTCTAGTTTCATATTGGAACAAGTTATGTAAATATAGCATCGATCACTCTAATATTTTTTGAAAAAATTGTAAAATTCCCTCTTTTTAAATGAATAATGTTTGAAGGCTGAATCATCATCATTATATCAGCGTTTAACTATCCACTGCTAAACATAAGCCTCCCCTTGGAGGGTTTTGTCCGTAGTTGCTACGCTTGGCAGGCGGGTTGGCAACAGCAGTCAGGTTTTAGAGATGTTTTAAGAGGGACGCTGACTAACTGACTAAGGCGGGAAGATTAAATAGAAAGGTGTAAAGCGACAAAAAATAAAATACTACAAATATAAAGATCAAATCTGGTGTTTCGCATTTTCTCAACCACCTTCAAAAACTTTTTCAACGTGGTTGTTTTTTATGTTTGTTGTCTCGTAACTCCGTCAGTTGTAAACCAATTAAGAATTCTTTTTTTATCTGAAAGGATATCCTTACAAACAGGTACCATAGAAATTTTAACTTAAATTTTTTTAAGTGGTTTAGTTTTTAAATTAAAAATTGCTGGATTTGGTGTCTTTAATGTCGGATTTTTTGTTGAACACAATTTATATATATATATATATATATATATATATATATATATATATATATATATATATATATATATATATATATATATATATATATATATATATATATGAAACAGGTTTTTATGAGCGAAACATGAATATTAAAAACAAACGTAGTTTTTCGTGGGCCCGCGAACTTCATGTTAGTCATAATCATCCCTTCGTGATCATGGACCCTTAATAGTAATAAAAAAGATAAATAATCAGATGAAAAATGTAGTTTTCACTTACAATCATTGCATTTTATGTTAATTTCATGCAAATCTTTAAATCCTGTGCACTGCTAATTCCGCATCTAGTTAATTGAAATTCTAAATTGCGTTATGACTAATTTCTAATTGTCTTGAAACCTTATAGCCATACTTCAATAAAGGCGATATTGTATCCCTCGACGAGAGTGCACCCTTCACGTTGTATCAATACAGGGGTAATATTGAAATTGTTAACGGCGCCTAAAACTAAGAATCTATCCATGCCACAGAATATATTGTCGTGAATTATATTAACTTACGAATAACAGCTGTACGCATCGTTTTAGTGCGGGAAGCTAGAAATTTTGTGTCGTTTATTCGGTTTCACTGATACAAATAGAAAAAAAATATCC